CATTTGAAATATTTATTTGAATCCTACGACGTAGTTTTCAATGAACGGTTGGTTGATTTTTTAAAGAAATTTTTACATATTTCTTAGATAAGAAAAATGGGTGGATCTTCACAGTCATTAAAACGTCAGTCATGACTAGTCGGAAAATTCGTAGACGGTATTTACTAATGGACTCCATTACATCTAATTGTATCAGAAACATATGAAATGTACATCGGATGAATTTGTACTTGAATCAGTGTTATAAAAAAAAAAAATGCCTCAAGTATTATATTAATCATAGTAATCACTACGAGACTTTAATAATATAGTCGTGAAAAATAATGTGACTGGACAATTGAATTCAGTTTTCTACAGATAGTTGTGTCTGTATGTACTCGTATATGTATAAGTAAATCTTTAAACACATAAACTAACACACTCAAAGAGTGACATAATTACGCGATTTAAGAATTATTTTTCAAACATTAAATGCGATCACTGATCCTTTAATAGATGATTCAAGTCCACACATATTTGATAAACTACCATTATATTAAATATATATATATATATATTGACAACCATGACAATAAATGTGATAGTAAATAGATAAATAAATAAACAAAAACAATGAAAACTTTACTCTGATTAATTTATTAATTGTCGATAAATAATGAAAAAAATCTAGAAATTGAAGCAGGTTTTAGGTTATTTATACATGAGTTATCTAGCTTAACGGTATAAGTATTTGTAGTTGAGAACTTTTAATCGATTTGATATCGTTATAGGAAAAAACTCTTAATAAATATAGAGCCGTTCATTTTTTAATGCATTTTACTAAACAACAAATCATTTTTTTCTCAAAATAGTCATTGTATAGTAATATAATGGTAGTATTTCATGTTTACTCCGTATAATTATTAAGAATAAATCTTAATACTGGTAGAAGAAACAAATATCTGTCAAAATATTGTTTAAATTATTTTTTACAAATTTGCCTATCGTACATAATCTAATTATTTTTTTTACATACTTTTTTTTAATCTTTTATTTTTTTATTTTTTATTAGTATTTCAATATAATATCAATTAGATCACAAAATACTTTCAATGAGCGACATTTGTATTTACTAGTTAACTAATTTAAAAAATGCACTGTAATAAAGAATGTGCACTATTCAAGTACATCTATGGAATACTGACTTATAATACTATAGACGTTTTATGTAGTATTTTTCAAAATATTGACTAAAATTACAAATGTGTATTTTTGAATGTATACTTTATTTCGTACGTAAGTAAATGTATAGTAAAACGGTAATAAATTAAAACTATTATTATGCTATTGATCAATATATATATTGGATAAAACTTTTAAAAAAACAAACATAAGATATCATATGTTATAGATTTAAATACGTAAAAACTGTTCATAAAATATTTATATTTGATTTGATGCAATTTCATCGGACTTTTAAACTGCATTTAATGAAAAAATTAATTCATTAGCTGCAATATTTATTTCACCATTTTATCGGTTGGAAAAGTATACATGGATATAAAGAAAAAAAGCACATTAGAATATTATATTGGTAAATATTAAAACAATTATTTTGTTAATTATATATTACATTTTTTGTCATATTGTAAATGTGTATCAAATAATCAGTTTGTTACAGTTGATTCTCAAGCTGTAATTCTTAATAAGTTGTAAAAATCTAATTGATTATAATTTATGTAATTATTAATGTAACTTATAATTCATATATAAATAATAACCGATTATAATTAATATAATTATCTATCATATCGATCATATGGAAATAAAATGACTGTGTAACTCTAGTTTAGGCATACTAGTTCAATATTATGGTCGTCTACTGACAAGGAAAACTCGACGGATACATTCGATTTGCTTTGATCGCAGCTCGAGTAGACAATGTTTGCACATGTAGGGCAGGACTGTCAAACACCAATGCGGTTATGACTTATCAACATGTTTTATGTAGATAAACGAAAACAATATGAATAACGACACCTTACCCAGTGGCGCCCACAGGTTTTCCATGGACGAGTGCAGTTATAATTATAGGGCCCTCAAATTTATTTTGGTCTACATTCATATGACCATATTAATTTTATTAAAATAATTTTTTTTCCAAATGCATTTTCAAATGCATGTTTATCTTAAATAAAATATTTATTTGCAGTTTCTTAATAAAAATAATTAATTAATTATTAAAGATTTCAAAGATAATACTTCTACGTACATAATCATTTTGATTGATGATTTAATTTAAGGCATTGAATATATGTTGACTTATTTCGCAAAATATATCAATTATTTCATCATAAATTATTTTTATATAGTAGTTACATAACATATTAATATTATATAAATCTTGAGGCGACCTCCTGAGCCCTGACACAAACTTCAAATACAATCATTATTATTATAGTTACGAATATAATAATAATAATATATTTATTTTTGTTTACATATTTGGCACAAACAATAGTTTACGTTTTATTCAAAAATCTAAAGATCCCGATAAATAGTTATGCATTTATAGTGTTTGCTTCAGATATCAGAGTGGGGCCCTCAAATGTATGTAGACAACGAGACCCACGAGAAATCAGTGGAATTGTACCACTTTGTACCATATGTGGGTGTCACTGACTGTATCTATAGGTAGTACAGTCGTAAACGACTTTCAAACATTTCGGTGAACTCAATTTTTGATAAATCTTATGAATTACCTATATAAGTATGTATAGTTATAGTTTTCAATGCAAAGTTCGCATCTTTTGAAATCTGCATAAATAATATTATTTAAATAGTAAATTGTTTGAGTAACTCATTTAATCCCATAAATTAATTACATTAAACATATATTATTACTCTAGTAGCTGACAATTTTTTTTTCACTGTTTAAGCTGATATGTTGATTGTATGTGTCCACTTAAGAAAAGTCCAGCCCTATAAAAATGGGATCAGACCAGACCAAATATTTAAGATAGTTTTTTTAATCGGACCAGACCAATTCCTAAAATATATTTTTCAACCTAGACCAATTTGAACCAAGCTTTTTTTAAAAGCTCGGATCAGCCCAGTTCGGATTTTATATTAAAAAAAAACCAACCTGGATCAAGACCGTTTTTATTTGATAATGAAAACCTGGTACCTAACCAGTACCGTATTTTTTTGTTAATATAAACCCAAACCATGATAAATATAAAAATACATGAAAATCTTTGACCTTTGCTTTTATTATAATATTAAGTACCTAATTAAAAATTAAATTAATGTTATGACGATTAGACGATGTGCATTGTACAGCGTGCGTTGTATAGACATAGGTAGTAGGTAGATTTCCTAAATAATAGGCCTAATAACTATTAATTAAAATAAAAATTTCGTAGTTATTACTAAATTATTATGCTTTCTTTTATGTTCGTGGAATGGATCAATTGAATACCGATGCGGTAATGCTTCTCCGATGAACAAATAAAATAAAATAAAACAATTTTAGACATTCACATTTCACAGTATTATTTGTATATTGTTTCTTCAACAGTGAACAACGTTTATTTTTATAATTTCCTGTCTGGAGGAAAATAATATTAATAACCAATAATACATGAAGAGTGAAATGACCGTATTTCATAAAGTAATTTCAAAAAATACGAACAAAATATTATATTTATAAATAATTAGAAATAAATTGAAAAAAAAAATAATATTTTTAATCCAGACCAAATAACAAACAACCGAACCAGACCACATCAGTGATATTAAAAATATATTATGATTAAACCAAACCTAACTCATTATATGACTTCTCAGGTCCGAACACACCTAAACCAATAATATAAAAGCATGTGACCGGACCGTACCTAACCCGATCCCGGTCCGGGTTTTTTTTGGTCCGGCCTGGGTTGACCCGAGCTCCGGCTGATCTCTAGTGTCCACCATGCACACATTCATTTTGTGGCCTACTCGTCTTTTCGTGTTTCTCATTTTGGTGCCGAATAGTTTCAGTTGGAGCAGCGGTTCCCTAACTGCGCTCCGCGGAGTCCCTAAGAATTCCACAATTGTATATTATATCAAGGACTCTGTTCGTTTTAACATCAAAAATTTAATAATATAACAATTATTGATCGTTATTGTATTTGTATTAATCTTTACCAAATCGGTTATAATGGACAAACAGAATAAGAGATTAAATGTTATTTGAAATATATTGGAAATTTATGATCTAAACGAATTCTATATTTTGCTGTTGACATTTTTAACTAATAAAATATGTTTAGAGTGCTGAAATCCAAGCAATAAAAACTTTATATATAATAGATATAAACCAGCAAAAAATAATTATGAGCCAAATTATTATTGATATTATCACTATGCGGTATAATATTAATTAGATAAAATTAAACAATTCGAATAAAGCAAAACAATAAAAATTATAATTATTCAATTATAGAACCACGCAATGTGTACCGCAACATATAATCACGGGTCGGTAACGATAACGATAGTAATCATAATCGTTGTTTGAATACAACAAGAGGCTCTTCTAAAGAGTGCACGTGTCAGGGTTGCACGACGGGGGTAAAAGGGGGAAAGGAGTGGATGATATAAGGAGAAGGAGTAGAAAGCCGAGGTTAGAGTCCTTCGATGCGCCATATCCTCGTACACATGATTAACAATGATAACGTAAAATATAACATTACAATACGCGCGTACATGAGTTATTGTATACTTGTACGTACATGCGCAATTTGTGTGCACATGAATGCGACGGGTGGACGGGCGCCTAGGTGCGTGTGCCGCGTACACGTGTATACGTATGTGTGTGTGTACTATGCTACGCAAACGGTTGGTAAAAAAAAAAAAAAAAAATAATGAAATAAACAACTGAAATCGGTTGATAGGGCGGCGTGCAGTGTTTTGCGTATACGACGGAATCAGGTAGGGGCGGATTCTTCGTTATCGAACGATACGCGTAACGACGGGCCCGTCGCGTGAACGTTCGTCTGTTCGTCGTCAAATGTTCCGCGTCCATCCGTGCTCGCGCTTCGCGACGCGTTCGTCGTAGATCCCATCACCACCCGCCGTAGTTTGTTATTGACATTGTTCGGTGTGTCGTCATTGCTTGCTGCTGTTGTTGTTGTTACGCGTTTGGGGTCGTACTCGTTCAACGGACCGACACGATGGCGATGGAGCAACGTGTGTCGTACGAGCGCGCGCGTCGCGTCCGACTCGTCTGAACGAGCCACCGGTGAAAAGTTACGGCGCGCCCCGGACCGACCGCGGAATCGCATCTTCGGTCTTCGCGGTCGTCCCCGCTCCGGTTCTTGTCACGCAACGGACCACCGACGCAACTCTCCTGCAGACCGGTCCCGTCTGTTTTGGCAGACGCGCCGAGATCATCGCGGTGTGGACGTGTGTGCGCAGTGCACGGTAAGAGCAATCAGTCGCATTTATCATTTGGAACGCGCGTCGTCTTTACCGGTGTGTCGCGAGCGGATCGTTATCGCGCACGATCACCGACACGTCGACGGCGGATCGGGTCGGCGCAACGCGATATTCGTTCCCCGGAGATGTGCTCCGGTCGGCCGTACCGCGGTTATGCAAGCTGAACGCGACCGCGGTATCTCCGCCGTGGAGGTTGTCGTGTCCGCGACAGCGATGAGCGTTCGCGGGCCCGCGTGTTTAAGTCTCGCGGCCGCACCGAGCGTTCACAACGGCCATGCTGTTACTTTCGGTGTCGTCGTCGAACCGCGTAGGTACACGCGGTTTTCAATGTTATCGTCGTCGCGTACCGTTCGCATACGACAGCTTCGTTATTTCCAGTTCATTTAATTTGGACGTCGATTGCGTCCGTATTGCGCTCGTGATGCTCTGCTCCCGGTGGCATCGTTCCTGTGAGACAGGTGTCCGGGCCGTTGACGGAAACAACATGTTAGAAATCACGTCGTTCGCTCACTCGCCCCTTCGACGGTACCCGGGTTAAATCAGGGGCGTCCTCAGAGGGGAAAGGGCTTTCCCTAACGGGAAGGGCGAATAGCCTTTTTTCTTTAAATTTCTGTTATCTATTACATATACGCGTATACGCGTATACGCGTGTATACGCGCGGGATACTTTACAGCGTTTGCACAATAATACGATCTTATTGTACGTACAGAGCTATTATTCGGTTCTAACCAGACTATGTTTTATAAATGTCTACTAGGTGTCACTATGACCAAAGAGTTGAAAACTTAAGACACAATCTGTTTCTACTAAAGATGAACTTTCTTCTTATAGTTTTCAGCTCGCATAAAAATTTACATGTTGTACTCAAAATTACAAATTACTCAATAATTTAATAGTTGATACAGTTTTAAAATTTAGAACAATTAGAAATAATTATTTTGATGTTGATTGAAAACAATGTTTCGTTCGAGTTGGGCTTAATTTCCACCTAACGATCTTTGATTGGTCTCATACGTTTTGAGCAGGTTTTCATCAACAATACATTTCATCTCTGAGGATTTTGAATGCGTGTACCTATACTACACCCACCAGTCACTTTTTGGCGAGTCCATAATTTTTCACACATCACGTACTGTTCGGATTCGATTTATATTCCATGGCCACTCGGAGAGTGCATAACTCGCAATTTATTGACAGAATATCAAATTATATTGTTGTCGGCGAGTACGGATTGTATATTGGTACTAGATAGAGTGCTATAAGGTAGTCCGTAAATCCGTACAACTTCTGATGGGTTACAACGTTATAGACGTGCGTCATTTCGCGTTCACATTTCAACCGTATTACATAGGTATCAGGTTTTCGCACACAGCATACGGCCGTATACACTTGTACGTACAAGCGAAATGGATGAGTTGTTGTCGGCGAAAGTCGTACTTTTTCAAAAAAAGTGCATTACAAAGATGCATACATTAACAACGAATACACCATTGTCCAGTGTCATCGTATACGTTTGAATATTTTAAGTACGCCTGTGCAGCTCAGGACTACACCATTATTTTCTTCGACATCCCGGTAGACAAGTTAGGTTAGGTTAACTGGGCCGAGACCACAGGGTACCTCCCGTACCGAGAATACGCTACCGGACCCGGGCTTCGTTATAGGTATGACTTGTCCTTGCGCGCGCGAGGTAAAAAATAAGGAATTCGTGAACACCGATTGGAATTTTCGTGTATCTATCACTCTTGCCGCCGAACAGTCGCCTTTCACCGGTCTCTGATTGGAATGTATATCTATGTACATATTTTGTTTACATTATTTCATTGTCGTCGTGGAGGTGCAGTGGTATCGGGCGTGTGACGACGTATGTGTACCTCACCCCTTGCGGCCTGCCCACGAAAAAATACGAACCGTTTAATGACCAAACGTGTTTGTTATCGATGATGATAAACGGGCGCATCTATGGCAACGGGTTATGATGTTACACGACTGCCGACATACGCACCCGCACTTCGGCGATGTATTCTACGTGTATAATATATATTTTTTATGCAGGTATACGTTAATATGCGATGTACGCACGCGAGGCGAATCGCTCAAAACGATTAATTTTACGCTGCGAGGCGAGTTTTTTGCGCGGAGTAACGTGGGCGGAAACACATGTCGACATGTACAACACGGTAATACGAATATCCTGGTTAAGATTTTCTTTTTTTACGAAACCTCGTTATAATATCGTTACTGTTCTGTCCTCGCGGTAGTTATAATTTATGTGAAACCACAAAACGTATTCGTTTCGATTACACGTCGTCGATGACGATATGTATCGCACGACTAATATCTACATGTATCGACACAACGTAAGTCCATTTTTTTCATCTAAAACGTCATTTTCTTTATTACCAAATACACGTTGTGGTGATTTGTGGAAACTTTTGAAATTTTTGTTTATAAAAACACCAAAAACACCAAAAATATTTTGTCGTGAGTTCTAAATTACACAAGGGGTGAAGTCACATATCGTATACATACTCGTACATGTATTACAATATGTTAGTCCACCGCTGTTGAAATAGTGGTCGGCTAACGTATAATCGGTCGGGAAAACACTTTTCTTCGCTATTTCAGTAAAGTTCTGCATTCGTGATATGCGTTACTTTACCTGCGATGTTCCAGATAATATTATCATGTAAGAGTACGTCTTAAGCCGTCGTTTATGTACGCATGTACCGTTTGTTGTGATCCGTTTGAAACGATGTGGACGTTTATCGTTTACTTTTTTTTTTGCATTTGCCTCGACTATTTTCCGAGACTTTTGGACTTTTTCGCAAAAATATCCATACAAAACTGTTTGTCTCTGATAAACCGCTTACGGTTGGTTGAACTCTAATAATATTTCCGCAAATTAACTCATGTTTTTGTAAAATATAGTATATATTTGCCTTAAATATAATTGCCTTTGTATATATTAATCATTAATAAAAATTAAGAGAATTGAATGGTTTGGGAATGTATGGAGAGCTGATAATGATATCATAAGAAAAGTACTAACGGAAACCATACATAAGTTAAGACCACAAATGAGTCGGAAAGATGCGGCGGAGAAAGATATCAAAATGTCGAGAAGAAGTGTGTTAGTTGATCTGGCATTGAGCAGGGAAATATTGAGATGATTGCTTGTCAGCTCAGGTCCTACAGGGACTGTTAATTAAGATAAAAAAGAAGAAGAAAATATAATTACACGACGAGCGTTCCTCAAAGATTATTAACCGAACAAAACATTTCCAACGATAAAAAAGTTTTATTTTATTTATACCTAAGAATTATAAACAGAATTTGAATATTTGCAACACTCTGTGTAGGAGGTATCGCAAATCCTCATGGGACATAACGCTGTCTAGTTTATCGTCACTATTAACCATTTATCTTTGTCGTTTTATTGATTTATTCTAAATACACTTTATTATGTTAGTGTCCTTTATCATGAACTAAAATTATATTCATTAGCAAACGGTTTATTAATATATTATGTGTTATATTATTTTTTTATTTTTTTTTTATTAGCTATTAGTATACATGTGTTATATTATATTATGAGCAGTTTAAAAAGTAAAAAGTTTTTTTTATATGTTTTTAGAAGCACAATAGCCAATTGAGATGTTAGTATGACGATTATAATATACAAGCCATTAACTGTTTATTATTTATTGTGAACAAATCAGAAAATTTTAGATACCAATATTTTGATTGAAGTTTTAATAAAACTATGGAAACAATATTCTAATAAAACTTCTAAGAAAAAACATAAAAGTTCATCGTAAAAAATATAAACGAAAATAAATTTTTATGTAAGCCTATACAGAGGGTAGGAGAGATTTTAAATGTTATATTAACAATTTTTTTTATGAAATGTGTATTTTTAAAAATTATTATTGTTTAAGTACATATTTTAAAATATTTTCTTATGTTCTGATCAATACAAATTATCGTATAATTACATCTTACAAGTCATTTTTTTTTTACTTATTCGTATGACAAAGTTACTTTTTCTGCCCGATGTATAATTGAATAATATACACTCCTCGGAGCCCTCGTTTGATATATATTTGTTATTCGAATAATAAATAATATAGACAATATTGAAAATTATTCGACTGTTAAAAGTCCTCGGATCCTGGTTTTGATCAAAATTTAAAATGTCGATAAGTTAAAGGTTTTTTTTTAATACTTTTGTGTGCTTACATCTATTGAAAATACGGATTTTAATGTTATTAAAATGTAAATAATTGCGTATTAAACGTGCATTGAATAATCTTAATTTTTTTTGATAGAAACCGTCAGTAAACAGTATTTTAAAATATATAATATTATGCAAAGGGATATTTGTTCTATTTAGCGATTTTGGAAACAAATATAATTTTACATCGTTTTATGTAATATCTGATGAAGCCCATGTTTGTTCAAAATAAATTGAACTGTATACATATATTATGTTTTTTAATAATATGTGCTATTATGTTATACATATTTATTGTTCACAAACGCTTTATAAATAAATGTAATACGCTCACTGACGTTAAAATGCTCACTATACAATAATCCTGTCAAGTCCTGCAGCAAACCGTTCTAATAAACTAGTGCCGTTTTTAATTATTTTCTACGTGTAATTTAATTGGATACGTCGAATGTGAGATGAAAATTATGGTTCGACACTTGGCTGTAATATATTTTTAATGAAGTTTATTAATCTCATACGGAATCAAATTAGAATGTGGGTGTTCAGAATCCACTTAGAGTGATTAAAACTCTCACGGACGAGTATTGAATGCTATTCGAACAATTTTTTATTTCGAACACGTGAGAAAACGGTAGCTTTATTTATATTAAAAATGTGTTTTATTTCTTTAAATATGTATTGGCAGTCTTAACACAAACGTACATCAATCAATGTATAATATGCCGTCGGTTATTATTATGAGTAATTAAAATGAAAGAGATGAATTATTATTCGAAATATAAACGATCACCAACTGTATACATTATATTAATTATTATTAATATATGTATAACTTATGTGGCTGGATTGAATAACAACAACAATAATAATAATAATAATAATAATGTTCATACTAGTTTATGGTTTATATGATGTTAAATGAGCTGACGGTATTATTACCAAGCACAAAGTTGCTCTCTGAAGTTTTCACTCTATCAACAAATATCTCGTATTATAAACGGAATTTATTGTTTTTGATTAATGTTAATATCATTATCTGCAACGATGAAATGACGAAACTATTTGACTTATAACTTTCAAAAGACATATCTACCAAAAAAGTTTTTTGTACGTATTCGCATTAGACAATATATGGTAGTGAGCAATAAAACTTATATCACGAAATCATAATATTAGTATTATAAAAGTTTTCATATGTATTTTATTTTTTCTTCTTCAAATCTAAATAATACAATCAATAAATAAAAATGAAAAGCCATAAGTCAAGCGTCATGAATATATATATATATATATATATAGGCACATAAAGATTCGTGCAAAACCTTTTAAAACTGTTATGGTTGTAAGGCATCGCACAAAATATGTTTTTTCTATTTTTATTATCATTATTTATTTCACAGGCTGCACGCAGTGCAAGAGGGTAATATTTTAATATGAATAATTTCAATTTATATTTTTGGTTCAGATATAAACCTTTTATTTGCTTAATTTTTGACGTAAATTATCAGCATGCTATTTACTGTAGCAAAATAATTGAGTTCCGGATTTAAATATTAAGTGGAAATTTTGAAAATGTTGAACAAAGTTCGTGATTAAATTATAAAAATGCGTTTTTAGTTGATTTTTTCGGGATAACAATAATTGATTTTTAAATGTATTTACATATGGCTCAATTAATACACGAATATACTTTCTCGGTTAAATCCTTCACGTGAGATTAAGATGTAATATGGATCGAAATAAATTGTAATTTTTAATATAATCGTTTTGTTATACTGTAAAAAGTTAATTTATATAAATAGATAACTTAAGTAGTTTTGAGTACAAATATACAATTGAAATGGATAAATGTTGTACGACTTATGTGTGATAACGATTTCTATATAATTAACTTTACTTGATTGATGAAGAAATAAACTCCATGAATTAAAAAAAAATAATAATGCAATACTAAGTAAACTTATCTCGCAAAAATTAATTTTTTCGGGTCGGAATAAATAACCTGATTATTTATTAATTATGGAGAGTGGCTGAGATGTATCGTTTTAAGTTATCATTATTTTTTATTACATAATATGTTTGAAAATTGTTCGCTCACATTTACTTAAATTTGTTTTATTACCTATGAAGGGAGCTTCCGTAATAGATCGAAATATTTTATAACGAATATTTGTTTTTTTAGTTATTTTTCTTAATATCTCCGACAAATTGTTTAGCAAGTACCTGAGTTCATATTTTTCTGTCATTTATAACTTTCAATTTACAAACGGGAGAACCATTTTGATTGTATTTCATGTTATAATGATTCGATTTGTAATGGTGTGTTCAAATCGTTTTTTGAATATCATTGGATGTGTTGTTTAAAGAATTTTAAACAACAATTAGCCACCTGAAAAATACCTTCCTAATAGTTTTTTTTATAAGTATTCTATTAGTTTGATCAGTTATTGTTTGTTAGTTAGAGCATACGCAGGTATAAAAATCTAGAAGACGGGATATTCAAATCACCATTCTATTGTGTATGTAATACCGCAACGGGGATATTTTATTTTTTTTTTAATTTACGAAACACTATAATTTTTCAATTGAAGAGTGGCTAAACTAATATATTATATTTTCGGAGTATTTAAAATACTTTCGTGTGGTGTTCAAAATATTTTGTTGTTTATACCCGTATACCCTTCAAAATTATATTGTAAATGCATACGTTGACGTTGCTTAAGTAATGCGTGTTATGATAACTTAAAAATATATACCACTAACAAAAAAATAAAGTAATACAAATATTACATGGAAAAAAGTAAATTTTAATTTTAATTTTTTTTTTTTTTTATATGCGAACTGAACATGATTTTTAGACAATTATATTAAGTCATACTTAAAATATGCCAATGAGATATGTCTGTCATATTATATTAAATATATTTTTAGTGATAGTTTTACTGCAAGTATTTATTCTGTTCATGTAATTTACATTTCGATAATTATACAGTTTTTTATGAATTTTTTTCGGTGTACCGGACGAAATCGTAATACGCTGTTTCTCATTGAAACAAAATTGTAAACAGTGCATAATTTAACTGCAGTGTCGTTTTGAGTTTTATTTGAGGCATTCGGATTGAACCAAATATGCTTTGCTTTACCGTGTGTAGTTTTAGCTTTCTCTAAATGAAATCAATAAATATTGTTATGATTAAAAGAAGAAAAAAATTTATTTTACTTAATTTAATCACGTGATAAATAGTAGTAGTAGCTGAATTATAAGTAATAATGAAAAAAAAAAATAATAATATTTACAAATGATTCTTATGATTCTATATATTCTATATACATAATTAAAATTATTCTCTTAACCTTATGTATATAAAAGAACAGGTATTTTTTTTATGTTTCGATTTTTTGATAATACCATTTAACATTTTTCCAATTTTTATTCACAGAATTGTCCTAATAACACTCTTTTGCGTGTCACCACGTTGCCTAATTTTTATTTTTTTTGTCTTAGGGGAGGGAGAAGGGTATCGTATTTTTATATTCCAATTCTGTGACGACATTATTTAACATTTTTCCTATCTTGCTCCTCTCTCCTCTGACTAAAATAATGAAAAATCAGTTGACGTGATGATATTTAGGAAGGTATTTGGAACAACTAAGTGAAAAAAAATTTGGAAAAATTTTAAATAGTGTCGTTACAAAATGGAAACACAAAAAAGGCCTGTTCTTTTATATATATATAAGGATATTCATATAAAATATTGTATTTATAACATCTGTTATTAAAGCATTCCAAATTGGTTAAATTTGTTTATTTCGTGTCATCAATTATTGCATAAATACAATTTCATTCCGGTCGGTTTTCAGATGTCTATTGGCCAAACCGTATGCTGTTCTTCAATTCTAGTTTTAACCGGTCAGTGATCTGAAAATTGTAATCAATATGGAGTACACGTGGACGTTGGTGTCCAACACTGATGATCAAGGTTTAGGCAGTGAAACAAGTTTGTTGAATTGTAATGTTCAAGGACCACACCCTGGTCAAATATTAATACTCTCGAACGAGTCCAATACCCAAGCCATACCGAATCAAACTTTACCCGATATCACAAGTACTTCGGATAAAGATTATGGCGCTAACCGGATGCACATAAATGATCCAAGGAAACTTCATCTCATGAACAGTAAGTTCGAACTTCATTTATTTATTCAATCGAATTTAATACGCTATTTTATAGTTGTTAACAATCATTTTAAACGATAGACAAATGGCTGTAGTCAATTTGCACCAAAATTGACCCAAAAAATATACATGTGTAGTTTGCACCAAAATGTTTGAAATGCGATTGTAATTTGAACTAAAATTAAAATGTATTATTTTTTCGATAGTAACTCGATAGTACCAACGTACAAGTTTCTTTACATCGATATATAAGAAGCTAATAATACAGAATTTTAGGTTTTAGATTCTGAGCCGTTATTGAAGTTATTTACACCGAGGTTTATACAGTACTTCAGTATTGATCTCAAAGGTACCTTATAAGAATAGTCAATAATTTAAGGCAAAAAAATTTTAGGTAAAAACTATAATTTTAAAACACATAATGCTTTTAAATTATTTGTATACAATATATGGATTTCGATAAACAATATCTATAATCCTAATATAATTTTAATTTAGTTTTTTTTATAAAATAGCTGAGCTTATACAAAAATTGTTTTAGGTTTATATAATTATTATTCTTACTAATATCTTATTATTACGAATATTTATTATCATTGTATTATTACCGTATATATTTATTTGCGACTATCTGCGACGTCTTACAACAGAATGTTCTGTCGAGCGTCCGTTGACGATCACTTATAAAGGCATACGGGTCGCCAACCAAATACCGAGACCCTTTTGTGGTCGGAGTAAATGGATTTTTGTTTTTTTCTTATTTGGTGATATAATGAGAAAATGAGAAGGATTTAAAACAATAACGATTTTAATAAGAAATATAAAAAAATTTAAATATATTATAATAGATGTATAAGTAATTTTTTTTCCTCAAGTGGTGGAGGAAAGCTCGTACGGGCGTAAAACTTCCACCTCAGAATAATGATAATTTCAATACTTGGCCACATGGACCGAAACGGATTACATAATATAATTTATAATTTACTTATATATTTTTAAATATACTTTATACCTCGCGAGGGCCGCCGGGAGAATCTTCCGCGCACCGACTTACAAAATAATAAAAAATAGTAAAATAATAAAGAAAATAATATAACGACCTAACGAATACCGGCTAAGGTAAAATAATAATAATAATAATAATATGGTTCCTTTTTTATATACATTACCGACCAATCGATCAATTGGTCGTCATCCCAGGATGCACCGACATGGTCCGGTTTACTCGCTCATGTTGTGGATGACGGAATAGCTACGCCATTATATTTATTACCATGAAACGGGAAAACTAAACGGTTAGCTTAGTATTTGATTAAAATAATATAAACTGATATATACTATATACATTTATATTTATAACGAGAATACGACCGATAATTGGATGTCAAATGTCAAAATATTACCAGATAAGGCGAAAAATCCAGAAAAATCATTATTGTCATTCGAGTCTGAACGTCGACGAGGACAACGAGGAATAATCGAATATTATAATATCAAATAATAGATTAATAATCGAATTATCATTATGGTGCAAATTACATACACTACTTTCGACTACCTGAAGTGATGCAAATTACATATCTTTAATTTGGTGCAAATTACAAACTCCCGGCCGAATTAATCGACAAAACCGGAAAGGATTAAAATATTGTTTGTTAACTATTATTTTTACTTCATTTTCCATTAGTAGGATAGACGTTGATCACAAAAAAAATGAATCATAAGCCGTTATATGACATACGTGGCCCTTTAATTGTCATGCCTTAAATGTTATAATTCGCATAAAATTTACTATTGAACAAAAAAAGTTGCAATATATCATTATCTTTGAAAAGGCCGTAACATGTTATATGCGTATTGTACCTATATTACAGCACCTGTTGCAAGTTATACGAACTACATTACTCGTTCCTAAACCAACGTCTTTACACGTCTTTGTAAGAAATTTCCGATTTTAGTTCAAGTTGTTTCTACTCGAAATTTAAAAAAATGAACTAATGAATTAAGAGGATGCAAGCCATGATTTTCTTTTTCTTTCTATCACACGCGTAATATAGGAATTTAGACGTTTTCTATTTCCATTTTTTCATTTTTTTTTCATTAAGTTATAATTTTGGGTACAATGCATTTTTATTTTTTGTTTTTAATTTCAAATATATCTAACGAAAATGCTTTATTACAAATTATTTAATATATTTCTGGAATGTGAAATATTTTTTTTATTTTTCTCATTAGTACTATACAGTGAAATATTAGTATTAATTATTATTTTTTTTTTTAAATTTTTTATCTAAATTTATTTTTTATTTTTAAAAAATATTGTTTTTATCCTGATAAAAGAACACAGATGTTTGAGTTAGCAGTTACATGTCATCTAATAACCGTTTATCTTATTACTTTTTAAATTGTAGTATCCGAAAATAATTTGTTTTTTATAATTTTTTTATAAATATCAATTATTGATAAGTAGTCTCAATATATATATATATATAAAAAATGGACTAAAATGTTATCATAGTATAAAATTAAGTATTTTTAATGTTACATATTATGTGTGGGGAATGTAGCCATAATTACTATACGATATGATGTACTTACAATTTATTCACATAAGTACACAACATACTCCATTTCTCTATAAAATGTATTGCCGATTCCATCTTTGGAATGTACTATTAATATATTAATCCAAGAAACCTTGAATAAACTCATAATAATAAGATAGATAAAGTCATGTCACGTATTTGACTTTGGAAATTAATTTTAAAATACCTTAAAGAGAAAACGCGAGTATTGTTATTTTATAAAAATAAACAACCTCATCATAATAAATAATGATAATAATCATAATAATAAATGGTAAATGGAGAACTTCCTATTATTGGAGGTTAGGATACATTCAACCTTTTTGTTTAACAATAAAAAGTACAACAATGGTATAAGCTTGTAAAATGCATCAGCAGAAATTGTTTTGATCGACGATAGCAAAAACCTAGGTACACTCGTGAAAACTATTTGAATATTGACATTTGACGCGATCCGTTTAAGATCATACTTCTGAACAACGTAAAAATTATGTAATGTCATGCTCTAGTCATAAAAGTTATAAACTGTTTGATATAGACGTCCCGATAAATCAGTATATTCACGTGAACAAGAATTAAGTAAAGATTACACACACAAAAATGTAAACATGTTATATAAACATATTTTTAAACCAAAATCGAAAATTGTTGCACTGAATACATTTTAAATTTAGATAGATATCACATGATTATAAGTCCATTATTAAATTATAAATTATAAAAAAATAATTATAAATTACCGATAAGATGTCTTTTATGTTCATTATTTTGTTAATATATTTATTATAATTTCTTAGATAACTATTTATGTATACACTATTTATTATTACATTATCTATTTGATTAAATTTTTTTCTTGTAGTTCTATATATATAAATTAACATTAAATTATTAACGTCGTATATAACATTAATTATTACTATTTACTAATTGTACTTAAACAGTTATACTTAGTGTTATTGATTATCAGACTATTCTAACCTATTTTTATATTTTAGTTGGTGGCCCGATAAATTAACAGACTCATGCGATTAAAATTATAAGTACATATGAAATTTCAAGCTACGAGTCATATAAATTAAACTATAATTTCACGTGAACACGTGAAAACATGTAAACGTAAAATAGGGATCTCTACTTTTTAGCCAAACAAAGTATCTCATCAATTATCACTAATTATTCTGTTTTCGTATAAATATTTTATACATTTATACTATCTAATTTTGGGAATTGCTATTCATATACATTATAATATATTCGAACGTATGTAAAATGATTTTTAATTAAAAAATAATTAAAATATACTCTTAATAGATATTTAAATGTTTGTTTAAAATGAAAAAATCGAAATAGAATAAATTTTTACGGAGTACGATATTTAATGACGTACTTAGTATTTTCCATAATAAATAAATGTTTAAATTATTTATATTTTAATAGGTATTATGTTTAAATTACACATTTAAAAAATATTTTTCTGGATTTAATTAAACAACATTTTTTTTTCTTTTATTGAAATATATTATGTTTACTATGTATATTATATGTAATATAAGCAAATGCATTTGCATAACCATGGTCACTAAACGGTGTTCAGTATGACAAAAATACTATTGTAAATTATAATTTCAATTTGTTTCGCTGGAATTTATTAATATTAGAGATGGGAATTATGACTCACTTTAGTAAATAAATTATTTTACTTCAATTTTTTACTAAAAAATAATAATTTCAACCGAGTGAATAAATATTATATAAATTGTTCAAAATATTAATTTAAATACCTACCAACTGCAGCTGTAGTATAGATGTTTATTAAATATACAAGTTATCGCAGACGCTTCATTCAATTTAAATCAATTTCATATTAAAAAAATAAAATAAAACTGTATTTATTAAATGGAAGCTAGTGGAATATAATAGTTTGGTGTTAACGGTTTAGAGACTTAATATGCTAGTAGATTCGCAATAAATATTGGTTATTTAAAGATATTTTTATTTATTAATAAAATAATAAAAATATAAAAAATTATTCAATGATTTACATATAGAAATAAATAAACAAATGAAGTCTGGAACATTATATTTGTAAAATACGACTGGTTTCGAATTAAAAATTCATTGTCAAGTACATACAATGTCAATAAAATCACGATTAAGAAGTAGTTATACAAATATCTTCTTCTTTCTTCTTTTTCTTCTTCAGCTTAACGGTCCTTGAAGGACCTGAGCTGCCATAAGCAAGCCTCTCCACCTTTCTCTGTTGAATGATAATTCAACTGAAGCATTCATATCCATTAGTTTAATGTCCCTCTCCACAGCATCCTTCCATCTCGTTTTACAAATATATAAATATAAAATATACAGATAATTTATATATATAGAAATAAATAAAATGCTTAGCCTTTATTTTTTCATATTCAGTCGCGATTTTATTGACTTTGTATAAATCTGATGAAGAATTTTTAATTCGAAACCGGTTGTAGTTTACAAATGTAATAATACTCCAGGCTAAGCATTTCTTTATTAATTACCTATGCTGTTTATTTGACTGGTAATGGATATTTGAATTTCAAGTAAAACAATTCGTAAAAATATATTTTTATTTTGTTTGTTTCGTCTATAGCTAGGAGTGATTTTGTTGGCGGTATTGACAACGAAGCATTAGATTTCAGTCATCTGACGGACGAATTCATCCAAAATAATAACACAGAAACTAACCAGTGAGTGCTCATTTTATCATATAGACGAACATTATATTAGCATTGTGTAATATATAATTGTATAATTTATATAATATATTAAGGTAAACTATTTGGACTGTTTTTTGGACTTTGGTGTTTTTTCAAACAAATTGTACATGTACTGCAGACATAATATCATGCGTAACATTATGTAGTGTAACAGTGTCCGATCATATAGTTGAATATTAATACATAATAGTTGTTACAAATATCGAATATATATTATTATAAAGTAGTGTGGTATTCAACTTATCAGTTCAATATTAGCAAGTTGACATACGACTACAATATTATTAAACTGTTGGATCGATTATTCTTATATAAGGTAGCTCGGCAACTATTATAATATCGTTTTCGTGACCCTTATTAATGTGTTTTATAAAAATGTATACTAAAAAATAATTAACCAACAACGAACGAAATATTCGCTAATCATTATTATGTATATACAGTCTTGTAAAATACTCCAGTAATTTGAATAAAAATATTTAGATAAATGCTTTTTATATAATTAAATACGTATTTTAAATAGTTTAAAAAAAATACTTGAGGTATTATTTATAATACTTCCTCAGAGTTTCTGTATTTAAAATCAAATATTATTTTCAAATATTTTTTTTTACATTTTATTTAAATTCTCTCACATTAAATTAAAATAAGAAATTAATTTACCAATTATATATTTATTTTAAGATTTATCAACCATTTATCTGTGCTATATAAAATCAATATTTATATGTGGCATATTTTTAACATTTTTGCGTATAAATCAATTCGAGACAATTATATTTCAAACATAAAAACCTGTGAAAATCCTATTGATAGTCTATAACGTTATGCACTATTATAGGTATAATACTACATTATTCTCTATATCAATAAACAATTTCATAACAAAATTGGAAATTCGTTTTATTTTAATTTTACAATTTCAGTTTAATTATTGCCGATGGCAAGGTTCCCAATCTTTTTTGGGTCCCTAAGACTAAAATAATTTAATCTCGCCTCCCCTTTATAAATAAAACAACATTTGGATTATTAAAATACAAGCAAAATAGTTTTTTTTATTACAAAACATAGTAATAACAGTAATTATTATTATTTAATTTAATGCAAACTATTTTTTTTTTTTTGCGTGTATTAATACAGTAAAACCTCGTTAAGATGGAACTTCGGTAAGACGGAAACCCCGGTATTACGGAATATTTCTTTGGTCCCGTTTCAAATTACATATAATTATTTAACCCCGTCAAAACGGAAACCTCGTTAACACAGAAAAATGTCATGGTCCCAAGCGATTCCGTCTTATTGAGGTCTTACTGTAGATACTTCAAAATTAAAAATCAACGAGGCAACTCCTACCGCATTTCATTTTCAACATTAAGTTTAGATCGTTATTTGGATTTTCAAATGGCAATTACAGAATTTCTCGTTTTACACAAATATGATTTTGCAAATGGTATTAATATACGTTAATGCATTAATACGTATTAATAATTACTGGATATTCATTTTTTATGTTTTTCGAAAATCCTAAAAGTGACAATGCAGAAAATTTAATTTGTAATGAAAAATCAAATGAAGTGTTTGTAAATTAGTATTCCTCTGTAATCGTGAAATTTAACATCAGTTTTTCAGTTAACTGGTATTTAATCCAATTATATATCATTTCTCGTGGAACATATTTTTTAAAATTACTTTTAATAGTTTTCAGTAATTGTTGTCATTGAACTTATTGATAATTTAAGATCATTACTTACTTCAAGAAAATGTTTTAAAAGAGTATGTTTCATATATACATCACAGTTATAATACAAAATTGTATCCTCATGGCATTATTATAGTCTTGATAGTTATAATAATAACAGATTTATCTTACTTATTTCCTAAACAAATGTACAAGTACACAAAGTTCTGAGTCCTGAGACTTATTAGGTATGAGTATATTATTTCCATTAGTATTTTCTAAGGTAAAATAAATCAATTTAAAATAAAATAAATAAGTCAATAAATCATAATATATTTAAAATAAATTAAGTTTTTTATAATAAAAAGCATAATATTACAAGTACATTACAATTACAATTGTATGATGGTAATTAACATATTAATATATACTTGATATTTATCAAATTTACATATTTAAATAAAATTATTTTTTTTATTTTGCTGTATAAAATTACAAATTTCGAAGTAAAACAATTATTTTAACAAATTTACAATGTTAAATGATATTTAATCTTTTTTAACACTATGATACTTCAATTGGATTTTTCAATACATGAATGATTTAATGTTGAAATAAATGCTTTTTCATTTGAAATAGGAATAAAAATACATTTACATGAAACATCTGATATATGAATTATAAAGTTATCATATAGGGTAATAGCGTTAACAGAATACAAGCCAATAATAGAAGAAATAATGGGTTCAGAAAAAAAAGAAGTAGATTTTAAAAAATGTTGAACAATTAGTTTGATATATAATTCATTGTATCCCACCAATTGATTTGATGAAAAATTTCTGTAGTAAAAATAAATTATTTATTTAAAATTATTCTTATTAGTTATTACATTAGTAAAAATAGTTTAAAAGAAATGTTAATTTACCAGTTTTAAAACAAAGTCAAAGTCATTTAGGATACAAGTTTCAGCAGCTAAAAATCCTTCAATGTTATCAATTGGAAATTTGGATAGGAACAATTTGTCTAATTCGGTAGATTTGTTTTCATTTTTATTATAACTGGAAACCATTTTTTCTATATTTTCTACTTTTAATAAAATTATATTCAAGATCATTTTTACTGCTGGATCTACACATATAAATAAAAGAAAATAAAAGTCAATAATTATGTAAATAGTAATGTATAAATATATTATTTCTTGAAAGAAAAATGTAAAATAAAATTATGCATATTCTAAATTTAAAAAAGAAGCATTAGAGGATTTTATCCGTGGATCTGAGTTATAGCCATGTTTAATCAGATTTAATGATAATGCATATTGTTTTTTTTTTAAAAATTTAAGAAAATAAGTATTTTTATAATGAGCATTAACATTGTTTGATTGAAGGGCTTGATAGAGTTATTCATTAAATCTGTTGTCTAAAATTAAAACATAATATTTAGCATGAAAATATATTCCTCCTTTTTAACTATTTATATTAATTAGGTTTATTTGATATTCAAAATAGTTTTTTTAACTAGGAGCCTATTCTAAAGCATAATATAAATATTAAGTACCTCTTCTGTTTATTTTATATTCTGTTAATTTTTTTGATAATTTTTTTACCGGTGGCATTAACTCAGTGAGTAAATGATCCTCTTTATCTTCAGTTGCGTTCACTGTAGATATATTATTACTGCAAGATGCTATTGGTGTGATCTTATGTGAGCTACATAAAGAAGATACTATATTAAAACAGCTATCATTTAAACATATATATTTAAATTTAGAAATAACGATAAAAGGGGTTGAAAATGAAAGTAATTACACTATAATCATAATCGCTTTCATTATGAATAGTTTGTTATTTTTTTTATGTCTGTGAGAAGTTTTTTTTTCTATTTCAGTTTCGATATTGGATTCTTTAATGATCACTTGCTGGTTCCATGCTTTTTTGAAATTGTCTGTAAATTTATTTTTATTTTAGAACAGTTTTAATATTATTCATATACCTAAATAAATCCTATATTATATGAAGTTTAATATTTATTATACATAAATCCTTATCAAAAATATTATTTCTACTATATATTTTTATTCTGTACATTTTCCAGTTGGGTCTTGGATCTTCTGCCTCTTGTAGTATGTCACTATCAACATTTCCAGGTGGCCAATAATAATAATTTGTTTGATTTTCATTTTGTTGTATCCAATTGGTGGGAATAACACTGTACTTATTATTATGTTCAGGAAATAAAGCTACCATCCACTTAGGGGATATCTATACAAATAAATATAATTAAAATTATTTCATTAAACATCTGGTAACTATTTTATATATAAGAACCTATAATCTAATATTCTAATCTATATATATATAATTTTCCGTTTACAATAAAGGTTAAATAATAAATAATAATAAAGTTTATAACGAGAAAAAAAATTATTAATTAACTACCATTTTTTTCCATAACACACATAAGGTTTGAGTTCTATATAAAAAATTCTAGAAAATTATTAAAACTTAACATCTCTAAATTATTATTCTTATTTAATTTTCCCATTGATAAACTTGTGTGTAAACGTTCAGAACTAATAAATAATACTAAGTTAATATTAAATTGTTGGTATAAATTATTATATTTGCAGCTTGTTTATTTATACCTCTAAATAATTTAAATTATTGGCTACAGTGTAAACTCAACATTCTACACATCTATAACATATGTTAAACTTAATTTGGTTTAAATGTTGAAATAAAATGGATACACTATTATTAAAAGTCTATAAATCTCTATGTAACTATTACTTAGGTATTTGTATTTAATTAATTATAAATCTGTTTTCAGAATTCAAAAATATGCATTAATTTGTATATTATTATGATATTTTTATTTTTTAAAGGCACCTAGGTAAAAGATTAAATAAAATATATTTAAATAAAGAGCTAAGTATTAAGAGGTTGATAATAATTTCCGTATTCCTTAGTAAAGAAGAACAACTTTAATATTAAGAATTACTTAATAAATCATTTACATAAAAATAATAATAATGTATAAACAAAAACTTATAATACACGCCAAAAAATTTTAGTTACAATTAAAACAGGACACAAGATACAACTTACGAAATACGGTTGTGAATGACGTTTAATATAAATGAATAACAGAATACATGATTAGATGAAAATATAAGTATTAATATTAGTATAAAGTGCGTAGTGTCGGGGTCTTCATTTGATCAATTCGTCGTTATCGGGGTAGGTATTATTGTATTTTGGGGCCGTGAGATTCCCCGAAAATAGGAAAACAATATCTATGTCTCAAGTTTTTCTACAGTATTTATAATTAATCGTCTCATTTAATAAATAATCATAATCCGATGCGACTTTAAAATGACATTTTACAATAATCGCTTGTACGTTTCGTGTGTATAAATTAATAACTCCTAAAAAATAACTTAAATTATTTTTAACATATATGAAATTCCGTATATGTTATAAAATTTCCAAATCCCAGGTATGAAGACATGTAATGTCATAGGGACATCATACAATTGCATAGATTTTAGTATATTTTTGTAACAATCAAATTACAGCATATAAATGTTAAAAAGGAATGTTAATCATGAAACACCGGTGAAACGTCCCCACATTTTGAAACATAGTTTGCACAGTGGGTACCAGTTACAATTTCGCTTTACGTAGTGTAATGTAAAACATCGCCCATCTGCACAGTATCCAACAATGAATATTACTATTGTTATTCGCTCATTGTATGTAGTTGATATTGAAAATCCTATATTTTATATAGACGTCGCTTCTAGGCGTTTTACTTATTCTAAGAATACATTATATAGGCAAGGGAGGGGAAAATATTTGTTCTAGAAAAAAAAAATTATGTGCTCCGAACAGTTGCATTGTTCGCTTTATAGGTAATTCATCCACTATTGATATTTATAACATGCGTATAATAGCAATGCAAATTATAAAACAGGGATGAGAAACTCTCAAGTGGCTTAAATAACTAGGCTGGAATATTAAAATATTTACTAGTTTCATAGTTATGTAGACCAAACAGCTTTTCTCATAATAAACTTCATAACTTTGTCTTTATTAGGATGTTTATTTTGGAAACATTTTTTTACAAGAAGTACGTTTTTACGTGTAGGGGAAAAGCTACGAATATGGAATAGGCATTTATTATGGAATAGTCAATTCACGTATATACTAGGCGCTATCTGTCTTATATGATTGAAACTTGATCTTTAGTTATTAGTTTTATCAAACATATGGTACTGATATCACAGAGCTGCTATCAAATTAATTAAAACACGTTTTTTGTTTTTCATAATAACGTAAATTCTACAAGGTATGTATGTTTTTATTTATTTTACTTAGTTAATGTTTTTAAATTATAAATCCTTTAGTACGTCTGAATAGCTTATGCAATTTAATTTTAGATTATACTACAGTAATTAAGCTAACGTTAAAGCATCAACTTGTAATAATATTTTTGTATTGAAGTCATAATGATTAGGGTTGTAAATTTGAAATATTTCACATGAAATATTTCATAATTGAAAATTTCACGCTTTATAAAATATTTCAATGAAATATTGAAAAATATTTTTTTTTTACGTTTGAGATAGTGATTGTCAAATGTCATTTAATCAGTTGATATTGTATGATATCGTTTTGGTACAATCTTGGGCTTTTCCATTTAACGTGGTATAGTCTATCAGCTGCCTATAAATAGGTAACGACCACAGATATATTTAATATTAATATATATATATATATATATATAGTAACGACAAAACCGGCGCATTATTATTGTTCAGCTATTTTTATGATAATATTAGTCAATAATAGTTCTAATTGCCTGTGTTTTATTTACATGTTACTAGTCAAGTTTTCTGAAGTGTCTTCAGCCATCTACATTTTAATTTCCATACTTTCTTGAGTATATTAATGAGAATATTATACTTCCCTAATTTATGATTTGTTTAACTATGCAAAGGTGGTAATTTTTATATTTTTTATTAAATTAAATGTATTTAATTACATTATGTTTATTATCTTTTATACATATATATATATATATATATATTTTATTTATTATTTGTATATAAATACAATTCAATATTGTACTCCAATATTGAATTGTAATTTTCAGCTTTCTTTAAAAACATTTCCAGATGTTAGTATAATATTGTGTATTTCACTATATTCACAATAAATTTTATAAATATGTATTTAACTTTTAAACTCACTAGGTACCGATATATTTTTTTGATGAGAAAATTTTGAAATAATGTGATAGCTGATGAGTAAGAGGACTACTGGCAACTTATTTATAAATTCATCTATATTTTGTAAAATTTCTTCAGGTGTTTCAATAACTATTGGTATCTTACCTTTTAAATCAATATTTATAAATTATAATAACTATATACTAATATGGTGTTGATTTTTAATTTATATAAATTAGTTTTTATTTCTATTTAGTACAATTAATAATACAAAAAGTATTCCATAAAAAATAAAACATAAAGCATTATATTTTTACTGAAATGAAACAAAATTTTTATTTTTCACTCAAATTATATATTACATGAAATTTTCATGAAATATTTCATGAAATTTTACTTTTATAAGTAGTATATAAGACTAAATTTTTATTTTATTCCTATTAGATAAGTGCTGGTATTATGGAATACCCTATTCCATATTACCCCCACATTTTTTGAAATGGTAAAATCAAAATTTTCATATTATCATGAATATATTAAAATTAGTAATTTAAAGTGTTCTAACAACTAAAAAAAATGTATTCTAGTATAGTTTTAAATTAATAAGATATTTATGGTTTTCTAATAACATCAAAATTGTAGTCAGTGGAGATCAAAAACAAAATGGTATTCCATATTCGTCGCTTCTCCCTATCATTAAGTCCACATTGTTATATAACTTATAAATATATTATTTTTCAAATATAATACGTACGTAAAAACGTATTTCTACGCATAACTTTTTCCAAAACAAAATTCAACCGAACATGGTAATAAAGTGAAACCTGGTAAAAAAACCGAACGAAATTGTTATTGCATAACAATATCATGTTAGTTCGCTGCAGCGATATCCACACCGTCGTTGTACTTATACCCGATCGTTGTTTTTGAAAGATTTTTCAATGAAACCGTCGATCAAGCCGATCACGTGATGGTCCGGATAAACACTCCGTATCATCAGCAGGAGTCGCCCGAGCTGTTCTTGAAAAGTGCGTCGATGCCACCGATCGCGGATCTGTCTTTTCACAACAACGGCGTCCTGCCGACGTCAGGGTTGGCCGGCAAACCGATCAAAGACAAATCGCACGGTTACACTAACAGGTGGGTAAATTTACGTGAACCTCGTTTCGATCTTTCTGTTGATCGTGTTCGTCGACCGAGTTCACCATTATTTTTCGGCACGTGTGTTTCAGGCACAACCTACCGGAAAGTCCTCCGGATTCCGAGCCGCCGTACTCGCCAGCGGACGGGGTTGGCCAGTCGCCGCGTAAGACCAAACGCCGGACGGTGTTCCATTTGTTGTTATCCTGCCCTACCCGTCTTAACGCTGTCCCGTTTCGTTTTGCAGACCGGAAGACGCCGAATTTACAGTGCCTTATGTCGTCCAACAAGTCTCAGATGCCGCCCACTAATGCCGGTCCACCCAGCCTTTACCAAAAACAACCGGTGGCCGCAAAAATTCCGCACCCGCTGTCCGTCCAACCGTTGCTAATTAACCAGACGGGTTCTTCGTCACACCTGGGTAACGTTTTCAATCATACGCTCCCGCAGGGGGAGGCCAATGGGGCCATACTGGGAATTTTCGTTTCAAAACTATTGTTAATTTGATACCACGTCTATCAATTATAACATAATTTTATTGAGATCCATTTATGAAGTTTAGTAAAATGTATTATGTTTTTAGTTAATCTAAAATGTATAATCTTGAACGTATTCATTAGTTTACAATGTTATCACATGACTGCATATCGCTCAAAACTATAAATTCTCCCGAGTACTGATTTCTATGGTATTTTATTTTGTTCTCATCTATTTTTAGATAAAAGTTGTCTTGGCCCTTGGAATTTTAATATTGCATGGGTGGGATTTTATCTTGCAGGCGCGCTTGTTTCCTGTGTAACGCCGTCCGATCGGTCGGTCGGACGGTTACGATCGCGATCGAATTTCCGTTCTCCGTTCGGCAGTTCACCGACCGTCGGCTCGACACGACCATAGGCGTGTCTGCGGGTTGCGCACAGATCGTGCATATTTTGACTTTTATCAGTTAATTCTGGTTATGGTTCCAATGAAACGACGTTTAGAATCGCTGTAGGCACTAAGAATGTTTGCAACTATATTCGTATATGGATTGTAAGGTAGTAATGATTTTTTTTTTAAAAATGTGGACATCGTATATTCTTTCTATTTTTGATAACCCGGTATTACGTTTGTATGTTCGTTCTGTGCACAACCTAAGAAAGCCTGAACATGCCTACGTTGACGTGTTCAGTAAAAAACTGTGAACGGAACGCGCTCGTGGTGGGTAGTTGTGTACATTGGTCCTCTTCATCATGTAACTTTGCAACCCACTTTTCGTGATTTGGAGTCATAATCTGCTGTTATCGATTCATCATGGATACATTGGCGTTGCCAGGGGGAGGAGGGTTAACTGGTAATAATCCCCCTCGAAATGTTACTCTTCATCTATTTTCCTTCGCCTTTCTTCCAACTATTTGGCTACCTTTATTCTAAACTTCTCGTCTCCACTCGTCTCGATTTTCAACACGCATTACGCACACACCAACAGCCCTCATAAATTTTCAATCGTCACCAACAATTATTTTTTGATGTTCCTCTTCTTCTTTTCTCTTCATCGTTTTTTTTTTCATAACCACTATTACTGCTTTTATTTCCTCTCGCCTCATCATATGCCTAAATCATCTCGGTCTATTTTGTCTTATCTGTCCAATATTGACGCTACACCAATACTACACCTCACATATTCGTTTCTTTTTATATCTTCTCTTATTACTCCACTCATCTATCTAAACATTTTCAATTCTCCAACACTCATACTCTGTTCTTCTATTCACCTGTTAACCACCCAAAACTCCGAATCATATAGCGTAGTTGGTATCTAACAGTGTAGTGTATCTTGTAAAATTTAACTTTCAGTCTCATTGGAATTCTTTTATCACTTAGAACGCCCGAAGTTTATAAAATAATGTATTTTATTATATTCATCGAAATAAAACATTAGAAATTAATTATTATGATTTTCTTATAATATATAACTATATTGTATTACACAGAAGAACTTTTCGTTCGAACGTTATTCGATTAATTTTTCTTTTAATTTCTTTATAAACTTATTTTCTTTGTTTCTTAATAATTTGCACCACCGAATTCTCAATTCCTTTCCGGTTTTCCGTTTTTCTTTATTTAGTTTATTATATCCACTTTTTTTCCACAACACCATATTAACCTAACCTAATCTAACCACCGTTATTATCAACCTGTGTTGCGTTATTACACTCTCTCCAGGAAATGTCTCTCTTATTTTGTAACATATACAGTAATTTTAATACATAGGTATAATGTTATATCATGTTATCATTAAATAATTTTCATAGTTGCAATAAATTAAATAATAATGCATTTTACATTTCATACTTATGTTTAGTCAACTTATTAAAACAAAAAAGTTCTAACTTGTATAGGGGAGAACTTAAAATGTAAATCTCCCTCGCCCTATTTTCTGGCTATACCACTGATCGGGCACATTATTTTGTCCCCGTTTTCATAAGTTGATCCACCAAAGAAGAATATTAATTTACAAAAGCTTGGCGATTTCCGGATCATACCCAGTATGGATGCACCCGAATCTCTGTACACATAAACCTACCCGTCTCGAATATGATTTATATATTATCCGCCATCAAATACTTTTATGAAAACCAATAGTTTACGAGTCGGTCCAGAATGTTAATGTTTTAAAAGACCCATAAAAATGCCCTAAATGTGCAAATAACGGTTTTACTCGTCAATTAAAAAAAAAAAAAAAGCACAAAAAGGTACAGCAATTACTTAAATTGTTATGAATAAGCTTTTATGATTAACAATTACAATTATTCGGAATGTATATGAACGTTACCAATTAGGAATAGCAATCGGTGTTATTTTAAATTATTGCTTTATTTGATGTATTAGATATATGTTGAATTGTAGTAGTTGGCGAAATAAAATAAAGTATTGAAAATACATAATTAATTCATGATTTTTCTCTTAAACTTTGGTATGATCGCAAAATATATCTAGTTATATATTTAAAAAAAAATAAAAGTTAATGGTTGATTTAATTTTAAATGTTTATGAAACAATTTTTCAGTGAAAAAAGTCTTGTTCCGATTAAAAAAAACCACAAATATTCAAACAAAATATTTCTAACAGTAACATTCGGACCCGGCTCAGAGTTACGACTGCGTAACTTATTATAACATAAAACCTGCTCTTTTCATCGGTTTTAGACTTTAATCGAATGCCACCGGACACAAGAGAGATAGAAATATCCGAGCCAGAGTATACAGATTTGTTGAACGTGAGTGGAACGGAAAAGAAACGGAAACTGTGCGTGGACATCGGCGGAAGCAATGGCAGCAGTTCACGTGTCAAAAAAGACACCGGTATGTATATGGGTTTTCAGGTTTTGATCCGGATGGGAAAATTAAGTACTTAAAAAATCGTTTAGAATGACATTCAAGGAAATAGTGTAAATTGAACATAAAAAACAATTGTTTTTATAATTAAAATTTAAAAAAAGATCAATATTAAACACGAACATAATGATAGTGTAGTGCGTTTTATTTCTATCACTAAAACGTTATTTGAATACAGCATAAAGTAAAATAAAAAGTATTTATATTATAATCATTACATTTGTAATTTAACTTCAGAAGATATTTTCTTTTTCCTATCAGCTTTACATCCCTGTTCAATAAATATAATCAATCATATTAAGTATAAAATATTTTTCTAAGAACTAACTGTCATAACATCCATGTATAGTTTATTTATACATTTTAGTTCATTCATTCATAGATGTCATAATAAACGATACAACTTAGTGTACATACATTATAGGAGTTTTGTCTGAGTCTTCGATATAAGGTCGTTCTACCCAGCCGTATGTCATTATAATAAATGACTTTCATACTGTATTCAAATCCAACGATATGTATGTACGTGTTTAGAGAGCTGCGGGAAAAAGGCAATAACCCACGTGTCACCATCAGGCCGATCGGTTTGCAGCGAGGACAGTTATACGTACCAGGATAGCTGCGAATCGGGTCTGTACAACGACACAAGCTTTCAATGTATCCGTTTCCAACCGTTTCAAGAAACATCGTGGAACACACTGTGCGATCACTCTCTGAAGGAACTGTACGTATCTACGTACCATCAGTAATATAGTGTTCAAACAAAAAGTGTGGGAACATTGTTAGCAGGGGTGGATCCTGGGACCATGAAGGGTTGAGGCGAAAATCTCATCAAAATAAAGTTATTCGAATTCGGTTCTATTTTGAAATTTTAAATGTACTAGCCGTGGTTTAAAGTAATATTGTTAATAGTAATAATATTTATAATAATATTTAAAATTAATTAAAGTATATTCTGCATCTGATAACGATTGATTATTTGGATTTTACCGGGAACTGATGGATAACATCGTTGTAATGTGAGTCGCATAAAATACGTATGTATTTTGAAGATTATAAAAATCTGATGAAAACCTCGCTAAAATTACTAAAGTTATTGCAAAAGAAAAATTAATTTAATGAAATGTAAAAAAAAAAAAAACGCTCAAAATGCATGCATGATTTCATTTGCTATCCGGTGGCGCATTTTATCTTCTTTCGAGGTTACCTTTTTGTGTATTTAATGCTTATACGCGGGCTCTATGTTGATTTCGTGAAGAAACGTAAGACTCAATTCGTTATGAAATTATACATTTCGCCTAGAATAAAACTAAAAAGTGGGTTCATACGCAACACTAGATCGTAATTTAATGAGGTCTGTGTAAGAATTGTTGCGATTCGTTGCGATTCTTACGAAACGTTTGTATGTTGTTAAATGTCAGGCCGGTGCCGCATTATCGAGTGGACGCGGATAAAGGTTTCAATTTTTCCAATGTCGACGATGCATTTGTATGCCAAAAGAAAAATCATTTTCAGGTAAACAGACCTACTATCGAAGCGTTTTGCAACCGTAATTGCTGTTGTTTGACATTTTTAAACGAGTTCATTTTATCGTATAGATCACGTGCCATACACAACTCCAAGGCGACGCGCAGTTTGTGAGGACCGCAGAAGGAATTCACAAAGTGGGCAGCTTTCATTTGCATTTTTATGGCGTCAAAGTGGAATCACCGGGCCAGACCATTAAAGTGGAACAGTCTCAGAGTGATCGGAGCAAGAAAGCTTTTCATCCGGTTTTGTGAGTAAACGGCTGATACACTAAAAATTTACTAAATATGCTTTTGAATCGAAAATATGTCACCATCTCTTTATTAAATATGATTTACGACATCCGTAGTACACAAAGAGGGTTAGGAATATTGTTATTTTTTCTAGTGTGTGGTAAACTTTGTCAGTAATACTATAGTAAAAAAGTCTTGTTAATATAGATCGATTTTTGTCCATCGATAATTTCAAAAAAATGTTCTCCTCGGAATAGTTCGTAGTTGATACTAAAAATAATAATAGTTGAAGTTGAATGCGACGATTTTCGTTTTAGATCGCAGTGCAGTTTCCAAATCAAAGTGTTCTATACATAATGGTAATTGTTACTTGTTTCCATTACTCCGAAGTGGTTCCGCGTTCAGAACGTTAAATTTAAAATATTTTTATTTATAAACTAATCGTTTTAATTTGAATGTATATGTAGTATAGTGACACTGTATGATATGTCCATTGCAGTTTGCGTCTCAATATTTTATTTATTATTAACGTTACCAAGTTTTATCGGATGTAATATGAATTATGCGTGGATGCATTATGAATAATTGCGCAAGATAAAATTGTTTTTTTAAAAAAGAAAGAAAAATTAAAAACCATTACGATAAAAGGAAAACTGCGCAGAATCCATTACGATTATCATGAAAATATTTTAACGTAGAACATAAACTGATTGAGATAACGAATGTTTTACGACCACTATGTAAATCGTTTCGAATTAGTACGGATGTCCTCGGTACGTTGTATACATTTCCCGTATGCATTTGTGTTATAAAATGGTTATTAAAAAAATATCTTCAAAAGTTATTACAAAAATACATTGTATTTTACAAAAATACAATTGTTGTAGTTAAAAAAATGTATTATTAATTTAAACCCTTTCCGTACACCGTCGATGTAATTATATTATTATATATAATTATATTTTCGGTGCAATGCTGAATGTGTTTATTACTAACATTTAAAAAAAAATATTTGAAAATATCTGTTATGCAATAAGAGGTCTTATAACTTTTGGATTTTAATCATATTTTAAATGAACTTTTATGCGAAACACGTGCGTCAATAAAATGTCAAACCGCCCAATAATCTTGTAATTTTATTTGTACGTGTGTCACTCATTAAAATGCATTAACCATGATGTGGACAAGCCTCTTTATGTCGAAAAACCTATCTATTGTCAACAAACAGTAGTAATGGGGATAAGCTTTATCCATACGTATTCGATATCCCGTAACAACTTTTCGGGATTCGAGTTATTTACACTGACAGTACTGACGGAACAGTATTTACCGCGTATTTACGTTTGTGGGTTCGTTTGCAGATTGGATTTGCGCGAGGAACAGGTGTCGAAGGTGACGGTGGGCAGACTGCACTTCAGCGAGACTACGTGTAACAACATGAGGAAGAAAGGGAAACCGAACCCGGACCAAAGGTACTTCTACCTGGTGGTGGGACTACACGCGCACTGCATCAACGATCACGATTATCCGATTGTCTCGTACGCTTCCGAAAGGATAATTGTCAGGGTAATCCAAGTAATTACGATAGATTGATATTACGTTGCCCACGGCCCGCCACGACGGGTGATGGCGTCCGTGAGACTCGGTACCGCGGCCGGCGGTGACATTTTTTTTTTGTTTGTTTCTGTTTTAAAAGGCTTCGAATCCGGGTCAGTTTGAGAGCGACGCGGAGCTGTGCTGGCAGCGGGGCGCCACGCCCGAGTCGATCGTGCACACCGGCAAGGTGGGTGTCAACACGGACCGGCCGGACGAGGCACTGGTCGTACACGGTAACGTCAAGCTCACCGGGCACATCGTACAGCCGTCGGACGTCCGGATCAAAGAGCACATCCAGAAAGTGAGTACCGCAACGACGAGGGACTGATGGGTGCCGGGAGCATGATCAGATTTCGCGACACTGGACCCGCGACACTAACCAATAGGGTGATAGCGTCTGAAAGGGGTGGCGTTGTGAAAAATGACTGATCAAAATAACTCCACAAAAATATCTGCCGTCGAATCGAAGATATTTTTTACTAGAGTTATCCGTCGAAAATATATTGACCTGGAATCGTTGTGGCACAGCAAATATGTGTGTACAAGGTTCTTAACTGTGTTTTTACCCAATAACGCATTGTAACCGACCGACGACGGCCGCTTGTATTGACTGACTGATGTTTTCGTCATACTAATTTAATACTGAATTTTTGAGCTACGATTAACAAGTTTTATGCTGCAGAGCGCGTTTCTCAACCGGGGGTACGTGAATCCCTAGCGATACGCGAAAATATACGACAAGGTACTCGGGAAAAAAGGGCTATTGTGGAAAATGTAAAAACTGATAACGAAAAAATAAATATTTGATAACGAGCATTGTATTTGTGGAAAAGACTTTGTACACGTTCATTAAAAATAAATATCGTTGTAGACTTTTTGTGAGTTCATACCTACTTATTATCCGTTGAACCAGATTTAATAAGTTAATCGTTACCAAAAAACTCCAAGGATCACATTAAAGTTGAATTATATATTTTTATTTATTTTTTTTATTTACATTATATGGCGCATACTGATTTAAATAAATAAATGCTTCATAATAATTTTTTTTTCCACTAAAAATAATTTTATAATTTCTTATCAATCCTATGTGAAAATATACAAGTTAACAATTAGGATACGTAAAGCAATGGCGAAAACGCTGCTGTAGAATATAGGACGTGGGTTATATAAGTAAGATACATATATGTATACATAGTAAATTTATATTTTCTATGATTTACATAGTTACCTATGTGGTTAGATATTTTGTGGTAGGTGGTCTTCCTACCCAAAATTGAGAAGGTGAAATGGCTCCAAAGCCATATCTTCGCCACGCCATTGCCACATGGTATTCCATCGTGTTTAGAAAAAAAATAACTTTGATCGTATTAACTTTCAAGCCAATGAGTTGTATAATGAGAAAAACGCTTTTGAGCGTAATCGAGTGTTGAGTGAATCACAATTTAATTCGATGTTCGACACAAATACGTTATCTGTTTAATATTCATAAAGAGCTTGCTCGTCATTAGTTCGAAACTAGATAATCGTAATGCCAGTGGTGATAGCCACAAGGGTTACGTAGCATTTGATATGATTAACAATAATTTATGTTATTAATATATGTATATTACAAGAAAAAAATTAAATTAATTAAAATTAAATTTAAAAAAATATCAAACTTAATCATTTCCAATGTAAATAATATATAATAAATGTATCCCAAAACAAGTAATTTATTATGAAACGTAACACACAATATACACTTATTAATTTATACATAATTCATAAGTTGTAGAACAAATATATTTATGTATAATCATATATGTATATAAAATATGTAATTAAAAAAATATTTTTTCAACAAATTTTGATGAATAATAACAATCTTTAACTAGACTTCTCAAATTTACTTAAAATGTTTTAATATCGTTTATTAAAAAAATAACATAATTTGGGTGGAAATAAAAATTTAGGTTGTAACAATAACTAACAATAATAAATTGTTCGACTGTTCAAAATATTTTATAGAGTACTTCTAATAGTAAGAGTATAAATATGTGTTATGTATTCAACTATTTACAGTAGCTATTTATGGTACTTACCATTTTAGAATTAAAGTACTTGTTTCATTGTTTACAGAAATTATCTACTTAATATTCACTCAAGGCTGTATTAGAATATACGAAATACTAAACTATATTTGATTTTTCGTATCAAATGATGATTAGAAATCATATAAAATAAATAATGGGCTAAGTGCCAAAAAGTTTATATTTAATTATTCAGATTTTAATATTATTGGGTGTTATTAACAACTTTTTAAAGCTCAATGTTGACTATAGTTAGGCTTAACACTTGGTTTGCCACTTGAAAAATTACCTTACAGTGTTACTAAGTGAAGAGTCTATTGCTGATTAAAAAAAAAAAAATTAATAATAAATAAATAAATGTGGTATAAAACTAGATTGTATTTTCTTCACCACATTCATAGAATATTTTAACACATTTAAGGCGAATTCTTATTATGTAACTTTCAAGAAAAACATGATACTGTATATATTATCCGTTTGAACTAAAATTGTGTATATGTAGTCACAAATAGTAAACACAAATAAATAAATATAGTATAAAAAGTTATTATAGGGAGTGGCAACCGTTATAATTGTAGTTTTAATAATTTTTATTGTTTTACGATACAGTGCGATACGAGGGAGCAATTGCGGAACGTGGAGAAAATCAACGTGGTCCATTTCAACTACAAACCGGAATTTTCCTCGTTATTCGGGCTGTCCATGAAGGAAAAGGACACGGGCATCATTGCGCAGGAGGTGCAAGCCGTTTTGCCTGGAGCCGTCACGAACGCCGGCAGCATTGCGTTCCCCAACGGGGTGGAATACGATGACTTTTTGGTCGTCAACAAGGTAAGTACTAGACTCCAGATCGATGTGCGCGCGGGAGCATATTTTCGTGTTTGATTCTTGTCGAGAAGTCGCCGTTCTATATAATTGCAATTTTATGTACATATAAATTGCAATAAAAATAAAACAGAATTTCAAAGTCAGCAAAAACATTCCCTAAAATTCGGTATTATTTCATTTTTCAATACGTATTGAACCGATGAATATTTTTCGCCAGCAAAATATTCGTAGAACCGTGTTGCCAAGTGTTGATGAAGTAATATTACTAGGTTCATTTTTTCGTTCACTAGCTACAACTGAAAGTATGAATTCCGTCGTGGAACGAATTCACCCTCACGGGGGCCGTGTTAAGGGTGAGATTAAGTTAATTGTTTCAAAAACGGTCCTTTTAAAATTTGTCATTGCCCCGAAATATACCGGTGTAGGCAAACATACATACGCCGTTGTCGTGCGTGTTACAAACGGTGCGAATAATCGCACGTGCCTCGTACTGTTTATGCGTAGGACCGGATTTTCATGGAAAATGTCGGTGCCGTCAAAGAACTGAGCAAGATCACCAGTCACTTGGAGACTAGGATCTGCGAATTGGAACAGAGCATCAAGCGTTACTCGTCATCGAAAAACCATCATTACGGCATAGCGCTGTCGGATCTGTCCTGTAAGTGTGCATATATATTCACATTAATCAAGCTCATTTTGCTCTTGTTATGCGTTAACCCACTGGTAATATTAAGTATAGGATTTTTTAACTCGATAAAACTCTAAAAAATCGCCTCAATTATATTAATAAAACCCATAGAAAAAAAAAAATTAAAACAGATGTTTTGTTTTAATCTTATTGTTTAATGTAAAATACATGGCGAATTATAATACAACGTGTTATATTAATAATTTTAAATTCTGAATTATGCGTAAAAATATCATGTCGACAGTCGTACATAAACAATTAATAGGAAAGCTAATTAAAAAAATCATTTTTAAAAGCATGATAAAATTTTGAATAAATATATTAATTAATAATTTAAATCAAAATCATAATTATTATGTACAATATATCAATGCAGTTTAACATAAAAGTTTTGAAGTTCAATAAATGGTGAGTTGTAAGTTATGTCTATAACAAACAAATTAACAAACAACACAGTTTTCATTTTAGTGAAAACATATTCTTTCTTAGTTTATTACAATTAAAATCAGCGATGTTTTGAAACTCAAACATATTGAATATCTTACATTATATAAAGAAAACTTTTTCAAATTATAAATGTGATATTATATCATGTTGTAATCAAAAATCTAAAAATATAAGACCAACCGGTCCTATTAAAAAAAAAAAAAAAAAAAATGGAATAGTAACTATAAATTAGTACTATAATATAGATACAGAGTAAAACGTGCGTTTTTATTTTAAACATTTTTAACAGTCACATAAATACATGTTTAGTAATTAAAAATAAAAGTTATGAATAAATTCAGTGAATTTTAAAATAGAACGTGTGCATTACTCTTGTTAGTGTATTATTCAGAATTATAAATTCGATGATCTAGTTATGATTAATATTGTTTTCCTTCCGGAGTTTCAAAGCATCCGAGGATTTATAACAATACGTATTTTGGCGCTTTCTAATTATTGCATACTATTATTGTTTCTATGTTAGCTACGACCTACAAAAGCAAGTGCAACAGCTACGATTCTAACGTGGAAAAATTCAAATCGTTAAAAGCAAAAAAATCCGGTGATGTTTGTTGCGGGCAAATAGTTCAAATTTCTATAATAACTTTGACAGTCGTTATTGTGAGTTGGTAAGCGAAAGCGTTCCATTCTACGTTTTATACTCGTAATAATATGGTTGTTCAAAGTTTCATTAACATTTTGTGTTCCGTAAACATTTCAGTTTGGTATTTATAACCGGATTGTTTTTCATGGAACACTATTACAGGAATCAAAATTTGAAAAGTACAAATGAAGATGATTTGTGAGTACGCGATTCAGGAGTAAATTGATCGATTACTGTTAAGATATTATAAATATGCGATTATTTGCTTTGAAATTAGTGTAGAGGCGTAGCCAAGGGGGGGGGGGGCTTACCTCTGATGGGTCGTATTTATGTGTATTTACTAAACTAGTACATTACTATTTGGTACTTGAATATTTTAAAATATTAGTACTAACTAAATGTTAACGAATAACAGGTGGATATCATTGGTAAATACATAAGCATATTACTTTTATCGTGATTACTGCTTATCTTCTTAGTCATTATCGTGAACTATATAACGACTCACATTTTATAATCACTATAGTTTTTATACCATGTTATGTCGTGGCGATGCTACCGCAGCTGACCACTGTCAATTTATTGTTATAGTTATTAATTATATTTTAATAAATATTGTTAAATTTATTTAAAAATGCTTTTTTTTAAATTTGGTTGTGGGGGGAGGGTTTTAGGTGAACTTTCAAAGAATTTCTTTCTTAACCTGCCCAAAAAATTGTTTAACCTTTCCCATCTAAAAATCCTATCCACGCCACTGCATTAGTGTACTACTATAATAGTTATAATTATAATATTATTATATAATACAATTATAACATTATAATATAATACTATAATGTTGTTAACATTATTGATTCGCTTTGTACTCCAATATAGTATTGTCAGACATGCGAAAACGATCGAAACTCGTGACAACGTGCACTCGAAGGACACCGGCCTGATGGAAATAGATGGGTTTTTGGACAAGGACAAACATCTGAATTGCATGTGGCTCAAGCGACTTATAACCAACGGGGGCACCTGTGAGGTAAAACATTAGTGTTCACACATATACTATTACGATCATGGATTGCACTTAAAGTCGACGAATTATTATACATAAAAACCGTTTTTTATATCTGCAGTACAGCAAGATTAAAACGAAATTGATGAACAGAATTACCGATAGGCAAAAGGAAGATAGGAGCGCATCCGATAAGATCTCCTTCGTCAATTTCATCATTAAAATCGATCGTATTTCAGGTGCGTGTGTGTTTCAATCAACATAAACCATTGTTATGTAGTATTGTACTCGAAAGGAGTTTTTGTTCGACGTCAATATCAAAATTTCATCGGGCGGTATTATCCATATTGTTGTTATTGATTATAATTTGGGAACAGATTCTTATGCAAATGTGTATTAGAATGAGCTTATTGAAATCTGATGAGAATCGTTGAATTGCGTATTTTGCATATTTAATGCATGTTTGTAGCTTATAGTGTATATAATTGTTTTACTTTACACATTAACGTCCACAGTCACATCATGATATAAATAAAATGAAGATCTGTTGTTATTACCTAAATTAAAATTAAATACTCGTATGCAACAAACAAATACATTATATAAATATAGATAAATTCATATGATAAAGTTCGAAGGGTCAAGTATTCGACGGTATTTCGGAAACCGATCAGCCAGTATTATGCGTTTGAACGTATTATTTTACGCGTAAAATTGTCCCAGTTTTTATGTCTAGTGATTTTTTTTTCTTTTTTATTCATTTGTTACTATAAAATGTCTTAAGTAAAAACAAAAATAAAGAGTAGTTTACAGACAAACGTAAACAAACAAAAAGATATTTTTAAAACTGATGGTTCAATTTTTCAATGCTATACTTGTAATATTTTTACTTGATTTGAAATAAAATATTTTCGATTTAATTATAAGAAAGTAGTCAAAGTAAGCTGACCTATTACGGGTTCCGGTTACCGGGTTAAGACCTAGTTTTATTTTTTCTAATTTTCACGATATGGTAGATCATCATTTTATTAGGCAGGAATGTTTTCAAGAAGTTTCCTGTTAAGCCTTAGACTCTATTTCATTTACAGAAAATACAAGCACAAAAGTATTAAATAATTTTTAATTTTAATTTTTTATTCATTAACTCTTATATGATTGTAATATTATAACACTATTTATTATAAGATTACATAATTATTAATTGTAAAATTTATTATCAAAGCTTTGATTAGATATAGACTAACTTCAAATTTTCCTGGATTTCGAAATCGGGTTCCGAAAATTATTTCCAAAAGGTTTTGGGCGCCACATATCGTTAAGAATTGTTGGCGTTAAATTTTTAGACAAGATTTGTTGACATCTGTCCCCATGGACAATCGATTCTGTTACAGACGTCACTTACAAGGACGTGACGGTCGGCGTGCGCGGGGCATACGGCAACTCCACGGCGGTCGACAACGTGACGGACGAGTGCGGACGGTCGGAACTGCTCCAGCATTGCGGCGACACGTCGACGTTCGTGTACGGATTTCAGCTCCCGGTCGTCAAGCACCTGACGGACTATTTCATCATCGTGTCCTACCGGCAAGTCCACGTAACCTTCCCTCAAAATAGCGGAAATCAATACAGTTAACCGGCACTGATGAACCGTCATAAATTTACGTTCATACGTTTCTTTACGCGTGACTGTTTTGCGTTCGGCCCGTTTCACTCGTACTAGTCGATAGACCCGAGTCCACGGGTTTCGGATTATTGTTGTGCAATCGACTCGTTTCAAATTTAACGACTCGTTTGAAACGAAAAAATATTCAATGTGTGCCGACATTCTTCCATGCACTCGGTTGCATCGCGTTCCTGTGGGAAGGAGGCGGGATCGCTAAAACCTTTTTTCTGCTAATTGAACTACATAATTGAAAAATCCCGATGCACCGTATGCGAGTACTTCAAACGAATCCTTATCAAGCATTGAGTCATCGATCAACATCGTTTTATGCGATATCTCACTCGACGTAAAAACGACCACGTACATTATTTGTACCAGTTGTGTACGACGACAACGTTATATTGAACTATCATCTTGAACAGGGAGTGGACGAACCATGTTTAAATCGTAATAAATATACTAGCTTCCGCGATCGTTCATCCGATAATTTGACCAACTCTATTAATTAATTTGAATTCTTATAATTTCTTCTGAATTTCGAACCCATCATAAGTAAAAAATTCGAGGTGCGGACGAATCGCGATTTTTCCACGTGATATAATACATTATCTATATCATTATTTTTACGGGATTCATATTTTATATTTCAGCACGAGTAAAAACAACGCGAAAGATTGCCAGACCGGTATGTTCATGTCGATGACTTGCCCGTCGAACACCAGCCTGTGGGCGTTGAATGGCACCCGATGGGATTCATTGGATCGAACTTATCACGCAGAGTGGCTCGACGACAAAACGTATTCCGTTTCTGAGGACTCCGAGTCCACCACGATCGTCGTCCGATACAAACCGTGGTCCTACGAACGGCTAAAGGTAAATCTAAAAGCGCTTCCTTTCCCGGGCCAGGACTGTGTGTTTCGAATCGTAAACGGTTAACACTGTCGATGCTTGACAACTGTGCGCTGAACTCACCAATATAACTTAAAAAAAAAAATTAGTTTTGAAGTGTCAATATTAAACAAATTGCAAGTGTTTAAGATTTTCGAGAGAAGACCATTATTTCGATGAAAACACTATTTTAGTAATTTCGACGATGGTCGCCGTTTAGTTGAAACTGACGTCCGACAGGTTCAATCGTAACATGTAATGGTTTAGCTTGTTGGACGGAAGGGGCTAGGGAGAATAATCCGCGTGATATAGATGCTATTGAAACTGGGTTCACGACAATAATTTCAGTGTCATCACGCCCAAGAATGTATTTTAGGGGAGGACGAAGGGGCGATCACCACCCCTGAATCCGTATTTAAAGAAATGATTATATGTGAGATACACATTTCAATTTTTTTTAATGTGGATAATTTATTTTATAACGAAATCAAATTATGTATGGCTGTGAATACTGAATTGTCCTTTTTGTCGGGTCCATATTTAATAAAAAATCAAATAAGACACAAGCGTAACTTTCAAAACATAGACAGGTGTTAAAAGACAGGTGAAAAAGTCGATTCTAAGTGGATCCGGCATTAGATTGAAAAAAACCACAAAATTAAGGATTCAGCTGATTTAAATATTACCAAAAATTTTAATTGTAAATTTTGAGCCTGAATTAAAGAAAAAATTTGAGTCCCCCCCCTAGAAGTAAGTCTAAATACACCCCTGATCGTGCCGTCGTTCATTGCTATACACCGTCCATCTGCGAATTTACAGATAAAAAAAATTGCAGAATTGAATTAGTTTATAAAAAAATTTACCATTAAATGAAGTGTAAAAATACTAACTAAATATTAAATTAAGTGTTAAGTACAATTAATTTTCCAATAAAAGAGTTATTCTTGTTTGATGTTGTACGAAGTTTATGTTAAATAATTTAAGTCTTCCCAGAATATTTACTACGAGCTGCTACTGGTTTTGATAATGTTAACTTTCGTTGGTTTGCGCAGGAATCGTGCGGTCCAGCGGACGACAAACGGACAATGGCCGTCGTCGAGTACAACGTTTCGCTGCGCTTGGATTGTGGTGCAGTCGTCGTCTAGACGCGGGCGCGGCGGTGAAAAATTATTTGACCAAATCGCACAACGCTACCGTACATCATCGATCATCAACTCAGTCGCCGGTGCATCGGATGACGATCGCGCACACTCAAAGAGATGACGTACCGTGAATTTGTTAAAAATGTTTTTTTTCTTCCCCCTACCCTTCTCTCGGACCACCTCGCGTTATACATTGCCGTTGTCTGGGGGGTTTTTTTCTTTTTCTCTCACCCCGTTATGATATTCGTACTCGTTTCCTCGTTTTATTCGTCACAATACGTCACTCGACCGATACGCCGTCATGCACGAGAAACACGTCGACGCGTTTACACGCCCTTGAATTTTTGCTTAATCCTTAGTTTTAGTCTTTAATTTTCGTAGTCGTCGCAGTCGTATAAATGCGTTGTCCGAATAAGCTCAGTTATGCGTTCAAGTAAATACATAATATTACGATGATGCACGTTGTTTTCGCATTGACCGTATTGGGGGAAAAAAAAATCACTTTTCACGCAATACGCGCACGAGTCTGTATCGCTTGGTGTATACTATAGCGTTATAACAGACGGGTGCGTTTATTTTAATCGATTACCATACGGTTGGCACGCTATGGGCGTCCGAAGAGGAACGAATAATTTAAATAACGGTTTTCACCGTAATTCCGATTTCCAGTATTACCAAAGATCTTCGAAGTGTTTCGCAGACAACTAAAGATTTACACTGATTTCCAGTTAGTGGTTTGCTCCTCTACAGACATACCTATTACTTATTACATAGCACACGATACCTATTACGTATTATGAGATTTCACTATTTGATTCATATTTTGCGTTTACCATTTCCCGGTTTAGTAATCAACCGTAACTATATTACATATATAGGTACAATCTGTACAAAAAACAAGTCGTTTATCTATACATTATTATTATCATTCAACATTTATGTATGTAACTATGTATTCTATCCGTGTATTTGTATAACATGTTTAAGATCTATGTGCGCGTGTAACAAATTGCATTTGACACATAGATCAATTACATTAGACTTTGAGGATTTGTAAAATTTATTCGATGTATGTTTTTTATTTTTATTTTTGTTTTCTAGAAGTAGGACAATAATTACGTAGTAAACATTTGTACAAATTGTTGTTTTCGACAGCATTATTATAGTACTATATATTATGCTGTGGGAGAGAAGAGCAAATTATATTGTTTTAGTGTTTCGAATATATTTTTCTTTTATTTGTTATATTATCAAATATACTTAATCAAGGATTACATGAAAAAGCAATATAAAATTATGTGTAGTTTTAGTTTTTAAAAAAAGTACCAATCGTTTTTACATCCTACTTAAGTATGTGTGTTTTTTTTTTTTTAATAAAATATTGTGTCTAAAGCAAAATGCTTTCTATGGCCTATTTTTTTCTTCCGAACGAAGTAAAAGAACATTTAACCAAATCAAGATTAAGGGTGGGGAAAAGGGGGACACATTTATCTGACCATGAATTTTTAATTCGAAATCGGCCGTATTTTGCAAATATAATAGTACCCCAGGTCGAGTTTTATTTATTTATTTATGTCTATGTATAAACTATTGGTTTATTTATTTATATATTAAACAATTTGTTTTTAATGTTTTTAATGTTTTTATTGTTAAATTAATAACGTTTACATTTGTTTTATTACATATTTTTATAATTTTAAAGAATTGTTTTTCATTGGTGGAGACCAACAGCCATTTATTAACCCCTGAAGGTCTTAATCATATATTGCTTGCATATTACGTACAATAATTTTGTATTTTCAACGTTGATAACCATGTGCGGAAAAGTGACGTTGTTTTCCATAATCTCGATAAAACATCGTCAAACTGTATAAAAGCTGTATACACTTAATAACTGGGCGCGAACTTAATTTGAAATTTTAATCAACATTAAATGTTAATTTTATTTCCTAAATATATGTATTGTGTACAATTATGTATCAATAAATGATCGTATAAGCTTGAAAAAATAATACTCACATTTTGCGGAGGAGTTAGTATTTTGAAATATCTAATCAAAAGTTAAAATAACATTAAAAAATATGTTTATAATTTATTTAATTTATTTATTTAATTTTTATTAAATACTTTTATATTTAAAAATTTTTTTATTAGTTATTGGATCCACATAAAACGTTGACAAAACGATAAAAATCACGGAAATTCGCGACTTTGTTGTAGTCAAAAATGAGTTTAATTTAAATTTTTATACTTCCGATTTGAAAATTAGATATCAGATTTTTGAATGATTTTCTTTTTAGATAAAAAAAATACTAGTTAGAAAGTCGTAAAAATAATTTATAAACGTTACGATAAAAAATATTGACGAAATCGAATATTTCAACAAAATCCCATAGTGTTTAGTGATTAAACGATATTAGTCATTTGGTTAAAGACATTTCATAGTTTCCGAATATTTTAACAAATTTTGCGCTGTTCGTAGGCACCTGAAAATTTCAAGTTTCCCAAATTGTAGGTTCTATATCCCCTCCCCCTTGTAAGTTAGAACATCAAAACCTACGTCGTTAAGAAATCCGGTTGTTCTACCATGTCAACCATTTCCAGAAATATGAACCGATCAACCCGGCCTGTTTCACTCGGAATCGGTTTTTTTGGTTCCTTTTTTATCGAGAACAACAATTGTCATATCGTTCTCCCATCCGAGTACGTTATCCGACTTGGAAGATCTTACCCGTTTTTATTTTTTCAGCTCAACGAAGTACATACCCGTCCGTTTAAAACTGTTTCGGCAAAACAACCAACAACAGCTGTACCGCTTTGGTGCGATTGTCCGGAGGCACCGCAAGTCCGGTATGGTCTGCGTCGTTTTCCGTCCGCCCCGAGGATGGAAAACAAATCGATCGAACCCTACCCCTCTCCCAAACACCCACCGATCGTCGACGGTCCGCCGTCTGGTCTGGCCGTGACGTTCCCGTCCGTCGGTGACACGTGTGATCGTATTCGATTAATCACCGCCACGCGTCATGTCCGCGGTTTCTCGCGTCTAGCTCCTGTTCCTGGGGCCAACTGTCACGCGTTTAAATATACATAAATATGACAAGTGTCATGAGTCGTAAGGGATGATGTTGCGATCCTGATTTAGGGACGCCGCGCTACGGTAAACGTAAACGGCATGCGTATGTCGCGGTGCCGGTCACGCCGTGCCATCTGTTCCGGGTCGTCCGATTGGTTGCGAATGTGAACTGCGGCGAAATTAATATTTTTCTAAAAGTCTATGTGTAAACTGCAGTAATGCGCGTAATGCACTAAATGTTGGTGTAATAAAACGTAATTTAACCCTTTACATAAATAAAAGAGTGAACGGCATTGAAACACATTAAGTTTGATAAATATAAATTCTCGGAAAACGTTTTGCACACGAACGAGCATATTTTCTATTGATACGAAAACGATGCACGTATGTCATACCATGCAGGTGAGCAGCTATAAAGGCCCTACACCGATCAGTGCTCTGCATGGTCCGGTCTAGTACGGTCCTAACATATAAAAATGACTGAATCGTCGGTTTGGTCCGGTTCAATAATTTTTAGGAGTAGTTCGGTCCAGTCAGAGAAAACTACCGAGCAAATTTGCGACCGGAATGTGTACAGGCGATGCCACCTCATCTAAATCGTGTCTATTGCACATGAATTGAGATGTGAATAACGCTTATATAGTATTGTTATGAAAAAAATAAAATCGTCGATGCAATTTTAAGTTGATTGCATCGTTGTACGTTTGAGTTTATTTCCATTTATAAATCGATTTGATACTATTTTTGAAATCAATATTTTGACAGTAGATTATAATATAGATATTCAATTTTTAATAAAAAAAAAAACATTATATAGGCTAGTTAAAATTGATTTCCAGCTAAGCAGTGTTCAATAAATTCATTTTGTGTAATCTTCGTGTCTCACATGATTACACGGTATTAATTTCGTGATCGAACGAATATATTTTTATTGCTGACACATTATACTGTATAGAAATAATGAATATGTTCCAACTGTAGGAATTCGGTTGCAAAATTGTAACACCAAACTTATTAGTATTTATTTTATGGAAAATCTTAAAGTAAGGTTATTAACCTAATAAAACTATAATAAGTTTTTTCGGTGAAAAGTTTAAAATAAATTTTGGCTTATATTATACAATGCAAAAATATGATGAAAGTTCATTCAAAAAAAAAAATATTATGCGACGTGATGTGATAGCTCTGGTGCAAAACATATAATACAGCAACAATGTATTTTAATGATGAAAACAACGATGAATGTATTCTACTGTGATATACTAGAAAATCGCAAAAATAGATATTTTATGTTTATAGCTTTGTCATAAACGGAGCACATAAATCAGAATATACTTATCATAATGATTTATGATAGTATTAATAACTTTAATGGATAATTTTTTAAGTTTGCATAATTTTGTTTTGAAATAATTTACAATGGTAAATAGTCACTGTAATTTTAATAAATATTTTATTATATTCTACGAAGTAGATTGATATACTGTGTTAAACGATATTTTCAATTTGTATTCTTTCTGTACGGTTATGATGCTAACAATCTAGAATGTCATCGGGTTTTCTGACTTTTTAATTTTTTGGTACATCAATGTAGCAGCTTTTCGTTTAGCCTCTTTCTTCAGTAGACCCTCGACTAATCAATCGGTACAAAGGAACATTACTATTTTTTCAAACAAGATTAGAAATTTGAATTCAATTACTTACCCCTGACTGTGAATGATAGTACGGTACACTCTACCGAATAAGTAAAAGTTTTACTATCACCTTCTTTGAAAAACTTATAATCCGGTAGTATCCAATCTCGGTACATACACAATTCTTGCAGTGCACAAACCGGATCAGATTTAATACGTGCATCTAATTTATTGTATGCGAGTTTTTTTCTGAAAAGAACCATACATTTTTAAAAATATCTATATATCTATATTAAATTGGTTTCTTATATATATATATATATATATATATATATATATATATATATATATACATACACATACATACTTTTTATCGTTAACAGTAGTATTAAACGTTGTGATTTGGTCTAGTTTTAAGATGTTTTCTATGTCATTATGACCGGTGAATTTGACGGTCATTTTGCAGCAGTTTTCTTCAATGGAAATTATATCGTTCTTCGTCTTATCTAGACAATTTGATTCTACTTTGAGATCACTTGAGATAGTCTTTGTGAATGACACGTTATCGATATTAGCTTCGAAGATTTTCATTGGGTCTTCAATTGTTTGCGTTTGTTGGACTTTGATAACATCAGATGCTTTTTGGACAACGACATCAACAACACCGATGAAAGCCATATTTTCATTGAGTTCTGTCACACACAAATCGGAGAACTTATCACAGCATCTTGTATCCACGTTTTCAGCCTTCACAGATTTAGTTAATTTTCTTATATCATTGTAGCTTTCGTTTCCATATTCAAACGACGCTATTGGACATTGATCAAACTCTTCAGCTAATTTTGAAACCAAAGAATTTTTTTCATTCAACAACTCTTTGTTTTTCCTCTTTAATAACTCATTTTCTTTGGTCAACTTGTCCAATGTATTTTGATGGTCATAAAAATTTGATTGAACAATTCTCGATGAATTATCTAAAAGAACACGTTTGTATGTTATTGTTTTACCTTACAATGTACATTGACTTACAAATTTCGATATATTATTAACTGAATCTATAATTTTGTTACATACCTCCAAATTCGTTTACTCTAATTTGGAACTGCTCATATTTTTTTCTCAAATTTGACAACTCGTTGTCCTTCAACTGAATTTGAATTTGAAAATTAGCTGCAAAAGAATATTACGTTGTTATAGTACATTAGAAATACATATTACTTTCGTAGTGCTTGTAACAATCAGATACTTTTCATTTCTCTAATATCTGATAATAATTTATTAATATTCGCCCTCTGTAACTTGATTTTGAGTATAAGCTGATCCATAATTTCATCATGATTCGAATTCATTGCATCCAGTTTCTTAAATTGCGATTCTTCTACGTTGTTCGTATATCTATCGTTTTCTTCTACGCAGGTAACAGACCTAACGCAATTATTACTCATCATGAAATATATTAATCTGTAAATAATAAAGTATATTAATTATTTATATAAGTATATTCGTAATTGCTTTACGATTATAATAATAATAAGAAATCGAACTGATTACATATTATGTTATGGTATGAAATTGTAAAGCAAGTGGTATTAAATTCTAAACGAAATTCAATATAGATCATAACAAACTTATATTGTTTACTAAACAACATTTATAAATTTATAAATTAGACTTTGTTATATCCAAATAGAACGTATTTCATTTGAACCAGCTAAAAATTAATTTTAATTTAATATTTACCAAGCACAAAACTCCACGAAATATTCTGACACTACTTACTTCTTATATTTTACAACTAGTAATTATTAAAAAGTGAAATATTTCAATCGAATCCTTGACACAAATAAAGATACTTTTTTTTTCATGTTTTAATAGTTTTATTTTATCATTATTCATTAAATATTACAAAAATGCTTTTTTTTTAATATCGAAACTATTCATTTTGTTTAATTTTTGATCGAAAATCACATATTTTTATAATTACCATCATTTTTTGATGTGAAACATTTATTGCCACGGGTGTAAGGTCGACTGTAGTGCCTTCGTAGTTTTTGGCATCACGCTCCCCACCTTTCGCTCTCTATTTTTACATACATGTCGACCATGAATTGTTGACCAAGCAGGGGTGAAACTAAAGGGAGGCCAAGGGGGGCATCTTATCCCCTAAACTTACTACAGTCGGCCATTCGGACTTTTTTAATATTATAGTCGGCCAAATCAAAGTAATTAAATCGAACAAAAAAAAATTGATTTTAAAATTCAAATTGTATGTGTTTTGCGTGCCCATAGACGATAGATATAAATACATGATAATATATTAATACAGCCACAGATCATTGAAAAAAAGCATTAAATAAAATCAACACAATAAATAATAATATGTAATATTTCGTTACCGTCTAATGCTGAAACCTATGTTAGTGTAATAATTGATTACATCTATTTTGAATTGTTATCTTTACATAATTTTATATACGTATTTTTGTTTTGTGTACGTGTATACGGTAATGTCAGTATACGCCTCGCGCCCACTAAATTATTATAATAGTCACCTGTAGGCCCACTGGTCAATCCCAGTATTTTTAGAATTTGTTACTATTGTAAATTTTCATTATCAACTGACAAGAAGTGACAACTGTGTTTTTCATTTATTTCAAGTCTTTTCCAGTGTGCTTATTAAATTTATTCCGAAACCAAATATTCAGTAATTCAATATTTTTGTGGCAACGTCAAGAAACCGGCACGCCACATAAGAAAAAAATTTAACATTATACAAGTTGGGGAAATTCATTTTATACACCTACGATATGATATAATGTATAGTATGAAATATGTACCTACGTATACCTACATACGCATATTGTTTAAGTTAATATGTTAAGTGGCGTCTTGTGTGCTCCCATGTTTTATTAACACATATTTTTGATTCATAGTAGAATTTGAATTTAAAACTGTTAGACACTGTATATTAAACTTATAAACTTACTGTTTTTATTAATTTATCACAATAAATTAACAAAAAGTTAAAAAACACAACAAATTAAAATAATAAGTTATTCTGGGCTAAGAATTATATACTCGCGGCGATGTGGTTGTAACCAAGTCCACGACGAGTAATAATTTATTAATACGGGTAATTTCCAGTATAACACTGTCTATTAGAACTACTTATTTATATCTGAATAATGCTAAATGCTCAACCCGTATTTATACGGGTTCCAATGACGTAAAAGTGGCCTATTTCTAATATTAATTTATTTTACTGTCTATTTAGCATTATTATGTTAAGACGTGAAAACTACTTGTTGTTTTCACCTTTGCTCTGGATACCCTGCGAGTAGGCATAGTTATTAATATGTATACTAAATTATGTTGAATATTAAGTATGCTTAGCCTTGAGCTTACTGCAGGTGACAGTACGAGTTCGCTGAGAAAACGACTGTACCGCATACGAGGGCGCGCGCGGCGTAAACGTAAAACAGCCATTTTCAGCTGATCGCTTCGATACCGAAATGTTGTCGTACGGTCGTCCGACCCGAAACGTTTGCGGGGCTCGACGAACTTCTCGCGCGCCGCGGGTAGACATCGAACGCTCGACAAAACGCGGAGAAAATTAAATCCATATTTACAACCGTAACCATAGGCGACGGCTCGTGGAAGCGCGCCGTTGTCGCACCAGAAAGCCAAAAGTCGCCCGACTTCCACGGCACTTTTCTATACGTCTCAGAAAAACGTAAATATTTTTCTGCCCGAGGTACGCGCGTCCGTGGAAAATGGAAATCAACTACACGTACAGCAAGCGCAGACGGGAGTTCGGCAAACAAATCCGGTTTGGCGATCACGGGCCGGTCGTGTTGGCGTGCGTGATGCCTGACCCCAGCTTGGAAGAGCAGTGGGTGCACGAGGATCCGGTAAACAGGAGCACCAACAACGGCGTGCAGTGGTCGGAGCACGAGGTGATCACGGGCGAAAAAAAATAAATAAAAATACCTTGTTTTATGCCCATACGTTTGTTGATGAATGTTAGGCGAATACGGTGCGCGTGGAATACGCCGAGCGCGGGATTTGGCATACGGAAGGCGGTTGGCCCAAGGACATAAACCCCGACGATCCGGAACAGGTGGTCAGATTCCGAAAGAAAGCGGAAAAAGACGAATCGTATTTGCAAGCGGTCATGCAAATGTCGAGCGTAAGTAGTGTGCACAGCGGTTGCGTAGGAAAAATATCGATGGACCGCGTAGCATACAGTTTTCCAGAACTCTCTCGGAATAATAATAGCAGCATTAAACTGTGATCACACCAAGTCATCAAACGATGTGTTGTCCGACGTTTTATATAAAATATAATATTTTCTAGGTTGCGAAAAATTTAAAAATCATTCACATCTAGCTCAGAGCAAAAAAAAAAATATATATATATATATTAACTCTTAAAATACGATTTTTGAAAAATCCTTCCTCGTTGCGCCTATACATAGTAATAAGTACATTTCCCGAAAGATCTCTTCCGACGATCAACGAGTGAGCGAGTGAAAGAGTGGTATATTGAATACTTTACACATGTAGGTACATTTCGTACATATAGATTATCTCAGAAAATACCAACGGTAGTGTAAATAACGTGACTAACGAACAGTATTAACTCGGGACAGTACGGCTGGTGACAAACACAAAATAAAAAATTCGAGTGTTCGCCACTGATTACAATAAAAATAAAAAAACAATCCTTGTTGGTTTCGTATTATATATGTTAAGGGGGCTACAGAAGATGCAAAAAAATCACGTAAAATAGGTTATAAGCTAGACAAAACTGTGGGACTTGGGTTTGACGGATTTTAATTTTGAAAACAAATTAAAAATCTTGAACATCTTTACTAAAACTTGATCGAAGGAATTTTTATTATTACAAAAATCAACGGCGTACTTAAAATACATAAATTTCTGTTTTTTTAAATTGTCAATATCTTATTATTTGATTAAAATATAGAAAATTATTTTGGTCAATCTCTAGCTAACATAGTGACTTAATTAAATCTGTTTTTAAAATTTAAATTCATCAATCCCAAGTCTCACAATTTTGTCTAGATTTTTGGCGTTTTTGACATTTTATTAGCGTGGTGTAAATTTGATCATATTATCTTTTTCTTGACATACGCCTGCGTGTGCGTATATATATAATTACTCATTCAAAGAAACTATTACGGCAACATTCGATTCTTAGAAATGTTTGATAAGAATATAAAATTATTATGCTGCGGGCGCTGAGAGAACGGAGTTGGCGCCTAACAAAACACGTATATTTACGTATATATATTTGCAAAACTATATTGCAACTATATTTGCAAAACATAAATAAATATACAAATATAAGTCAGCAATAGTCCGCACATTTTCTTAGTGATAGTAGTTATCATTTCACATTGATTTTCTAAACAATACGTGCGGTTGTGTCTTTTGAATATGTGGTTTTGAAATAAATTTGTTATATATAATTTTTGTATTGTTATCCGTTTGGATAATATGGATAGTAAAAAAGATTGGCGTTATGGAAAAAAAACCAAACCCTTATTATCTAAAAGGAAAATAAAAAAAGGAAATATTGATGCACTTAATGGATTAAAAAAAAAAAAAAGTAAGTACATGGATTTAAAATTATTTAAATATATTAAATTTTCAAGTGTTTTCGCCGAGTGAAAAATTTATAATATAATATTTGATAAAAATTTACGACATTAAAATTAACATATTGTTTAATAATAAAGGTTATACTTTATTTTCAAGGTATAAAATACATTAGATACCAGTGATACTACACCAATTAATTTAATAGATAATTCACTGAGCATGCTTAACTTAAATATATCTACTGCCGAAAATAATGAAACAGTTAATTCCTGGAAAAGTTTAAAAGAAAGGAGAATAATTGATGTGAAATATGTTTTTGAAAGTATTCAATCAATAAAACATTTAAGATTTGATTGCACATTTCGTGACTTAAAATTCTCAAAGGAAACAAGGAGTGGATTTTTTAGTTGGTTTTATTTTGATTGCAAAATGTGTGGTGTACAAGAAATTGTAAAAAGTGAAAATCCCAATGGCCAAATTGTTAATGTAAATATGGTCATGGTTTCTTCTATAGTAAATACAGGACAAGGATACTCACAACTCGAAGAGTTTTCGGCTATAATGAATATGCCTAATATGTCTAACAAATTATATCAAGATTGTCATAATAATATTTTTAAACATCTTAATGATTTGGCGTGGAAAGAAATGCTCATTGCTGGATAGGAAGAAGTTAGATTAGCGATAGAAAAATATGAAGTTGACCACTTAGGACGACCTAAAATTGCAGTAATTGCTGATAGCGCTTGGAGTAAGCGATCTTATAAAACTAAATATAACGCACTGTCCGGAGTTGTAAGTAAAAAATAAATTATTATAAAAACATAATACCTAGGTATATAAAATTATAAAAATTAAATAAATTCGAATCGTATAAAACATGTATATATAATAATAATTATAATATTATATTAAAAATGAGAAATCAATCAATGTAATACACGTATTAATGTTGTCATGTTTTTCGTGGAGTAATAAATTATTCACAAGTTTAATTTTTTATGTTAAACAAAACGAGTAAAGTATTAGGTAAATAATTAGGTATATATTAGGTAAAATATTAGGTGCAAAGACAACAAAACGAGTAGGGATATTGAATATCTCCGAAGACAGTGAATTGATGTACGCCATCAATAATATGACCATTTTAAAATCCTTCGATTCCGAGAAAATCTTCGGCTTTTTGTCACGATATTACGCGTTCATCGCATTCTTTTAAAGTAACTCATATTTTAAATTATTAAAATATAATATATATATTAAAATCAGGCATGTTTATAACATTTTTATTCTTAATGCAATAATATTCTCGCAATCGGACATAATAAAATGCGATTAAAAGTATGCTTACAAATATTGAGGCTATATTGGTTGAATAATAATCAAGTTTTATGTACGTAATTTGTAATATTATTAAGCGAAACGTATTTCAGCGTCCTGAGAAATAGGCATTTCCGCAGAGTGACATTCAGAGTTAAAATTTTGCATACGACGTTATTAAGGTACAATTAAAGTGAAGATGATAAAGGTATTATTAATAAACTAATAAGATAATTATAAACAAACTAAAACCATGACTTTCGGGCTGTAGTTTGTAGTTCATATATGACTATACGGGTAGACTTGGTAACTTTTCAAAAGCAATATAATAATTAAGTTAATATATAAACTTAATAGTAATTAAGTATAAGCAATATGAACTCATTGTTGACGGATTATAGATTTAATCAAGCTACATACTTAACTATATTAGTGCACGTAGGATTAGATAAAAACTATTTCAATTAACATAATCTTGAGCTTAAATATTTGAGCAATATGAAATTGACTAGCACGATTGGATGCAAAAGATAAGTTGGACTGATAGAATCACTAATGAAGAAGTTTTAGAAAAGGTATCGGAGAGGAAATCAATGTGGAAGAGTATACAGAAAAGGCGAAACGAATTAATAGGTCATATTTTAAGACATGATGGGCTGCTATTACTTAGAAGGTGTAATCGACGGAAAAAACCAAAGGGGAAGACCAAGATTGCAATACATAAGTCAGATAATGGAAGATCAAGGATGTAACTCATACCAAGAATTGAAGAGAAAAGCTAGTGATAGAGAAGCATGGAAATTGCTGCAAACCAATCATTAGATTGAATACTGCAGAGAGAGAGAGAGAGCACGATTATAAAGAACGTTATGATCGTTGTAATCGGGGTTATGAGTAATTATTTTATCAAATTGAAAATTGTTTTAATGGGTAGAATTTATCATCGGTAAAATTTACATATTAAAAATCTTACACTAAAATCGACTAGCTATACTGTATATATATATATATACTGCTATACTATAACCCTATATTGATATATTGTGATACAGTTATAAGATAAAATTATTTTAAGAAAATGTTTCTTAGACGTTTTGAAAAGGAAAAATTGAATTGTTCTATCTTAATTAGAAGAAAAGTTATTTTTTAGGCCATGCGTTCATTGAATTACTATTGTTATTATAAGAGTAAATTTGTGTATAAAAGGAAGAATATTTCTTATCGAAATCGGTCGAACGGTTTCTGAATTAGCCTGAAGATACAATCAAATGTACGGTTTTAATTTTATAGTGTTCATAAAATCGGATGGACTTGCTTTTTCTTAAAAATATTTTCTTCGCGTTATATAACACATGATACATCTAATACACGGAAAATAAATATAAAAAAAAATCGATTATTTTATGTTCGGCTGTAAAATAAATAAGTTCCAGTATACCTAAATTGAAACAGTTTCAGTATTAGGAAAATAAATATTTCTCACTAGAATAACCTGGTACTCGGTTATATATTTTTTCATTTCATTCTTCTCAAATGAATAAAGTCTACGTTACGCGTTGTTCGGAATAATCATGCGGTACATTCGATTGCAGGTCGTCGAACATTACATAAACCAAAATAACGCCATCGATGTATATCAATCGTATTTCACCGATCCGAGCTGTCAGAAGATGCAAACATTGGCTCCGTCTTTCCGGACGATGGCAGTGATGTCAGACCCTTGCGATCCAACTAGGCCGGTGCAACACATATCTTGGTCACCAGACCAGGGCAAACTGGTCGCAGTCAGCTACGCCGATATGAGATTTCAGGCAGCCAATCCGGAGAACAGTCCTGATTCATTCATATTCACCTTGGGTATTTTAATGGAAAAAACAATTATTAATTTTTTCGTTCGGGTCGTATTGTTTTAATTTTTAATGCAAAAACGTGTATTGCCAGTTTTTCAACGCTTACAAAAAACAGCGTTTACATAATCGTTAGTTACGTTTTTCAATAAACGTATGCAATCGAACGTAGTACATTTTCTCACAATAGAAACCGTTTTCGTAACCGATCAATTGATTTGTATTCGAAACCGACGCGTAGACAATATCGCGTTGAAATTCTCAGCTCTAGCCGTGAACTTGTTTCGTTACGTACAATATTTTATTTTACGCGCGTACCGTTTTCTATCCAACGACGGTTTACGTAATATTTGGATATCTCGTTTTTTTATTCTTCTTTCTCCTCCCCACAGAGTCCAACACTCCGTACTTCTCAATCGAATCGCCGCATCCGATCGTCACGCTCGAGTTCAACCATCGCGACGCACAGTGCCTGGCGGGCGGACTGATGAGCGGTCAGGTCGCGTACTGGGATATTCGCAAGAGCTCGGCGAACGTAGCCGTCAGCAACCTGAGAAATGGGCATCGCGATCCCGTCAGGAGTCTCCATTGGATCCATTCGAAAACCAGTACGGAATTCTACACCGGTTCAAGCGACGGTCAGGTACGCGTACCGCGGTACATTATTGTGGTCGTCCGTGGCCGCGCCGGATCGTACCCGTGGTAAACGATTTGTTCAACCAAATTTTTTTTGTTTTTTTTTTTTTTTTTTTTTTTTTAAATTGATCGAAAACCAAGTACTTGAAAACAAGACACGACCTTATTATGATATCGTTTTGTACGAATTGTTGACGCCGAAACAAAGTGTCGATCGAGCAGTCAGTGGTCGGTTCGGGAAAAATCGCGGAGGAATCCCGTTAAACGATCGATTACACCACGTATCTCCCGAACGTTTCCGTCCACTTCTACGTTTGATTTTTAATAGAACAAAAGCATTCCATATTTTCTCGACGGACATAAAAAAAATAATATCTATACCATATATTATACATATACATTCTCCCCAACAAAAACATTAAATTATTCGAGAACATCCGAGGCGAGCGTGGGACGAGAACTTTATCGACCCGATAAAACGCTATTGGAAACTTTGCTTGAGCGTAATACTATGTGACACGGCCCCGATGTACCGTAAGTAAAATGAAAAAAAAAAAAACCATACGAACATTGGATTTGTACGAATGGCATCTCTGTACGAATGCAAACACAATGGTAACCAGTCGAAGCGTAGACGACCGATCGATTACGATAAACAGTACTACGAGGTCGTCACATTCTTCTTACAGGTCATGTGGTGGGACGCCCGGAAGCTGACGGAGCCCACGGAAGTGTTGATATTGGATTTATCGAAAAACGAAAATGCCGACGAACCAGAATGGAGTAAGCAGGCTCGCACCCACGGAGTGACTTGTATGGACTACGATCCATCGATTCCGATACGTTTCATGGTACGTACGGTTGTGCAGGTGTAGCGTAGTAAAACATATTGTTTGTGAACACGTCGTTTATACCTACCGTTAACGTTTGTTATATTAAATATGTATTGTAATATCGAGCGATAAAACTCTATCGAAAACCAAATAGCAAGAGTTTTGTATTCTAAAATCAGATTTTGCTTTTTGTATCGTATAGATGACTTTAGACAGGTAATTTTCAATTTAATTTCAATTTTCTAACAAAAAACCTCTAAAAACTTAAGATTCATGTTATTCATCTAATTCTGATTTAAAAAATATGCAGTCCAATTGCATAGGAAACTGTTAATTTTCCGACAAAATAAACGCATAGGTAATTACTTAATTTTGCGTTTTTAACTAGCAATATTTTGTTATGAAAATTCGGTACGTGGTACATTCAGAAGTTATACGATTAACAATATTCAAGCGTATGTTGTCTTACCGGTCTCCGCTTGGAATAGGTTTTTTTTAATGTAACGTTAATGGTTTTACACTTATACAAATGTTTATATCACATCAATATTACTTTGTATATGATAATGTTTTTAAGGAACGATAGTTGTACGAGGATTAACTCATCAGTGTACTCCTTATTCTTGGACGGTTATTTTTTCTTTTAATATTATTATATTAATGTCATTACTTTCGACAGTACAGTAAATAAGGGTAAAAAAAGTAAAATGATAAATTATTGTTGTAAAATAACCAGATATAATCGGTAAAAAATTGAAAACCGACTGTCAGTTCTTCGTCATATCGACCTTAGAGCAAGACGATTGATAAACACAGATTTCGATCTGTACTTTTTTATTTGATATTTTAATTGTAGTCGTGCCATATAATTTGTATTATACCTCAGAAGTCGTACGATCTGCATGTTTTACCGTACACTTTTTAATTGTAATAGAATAATTTATTTATTTCGCGCGCTATACACACGAATTAAAAAAATATTCGATGTTTCATGAAAATAATCAATTAAAGTAAAGTTATAAGATCCGTATGAAAACTTTATTATTTTATTCAAACAAACATACATTTTTATTTGACAATATATTATTTTAACATTATGTATATAATTCTTGTTATAATAAAACTCAATACATTTATATAATTTATATAATGATGATATTTAATCGTGTAAAAACGATTAATTTTACTTATAAAATCAGTCGTCTAAAGTGTAAAAGTTGTATAAATTAAGACTATAATTGTTTTTACCGTCACGTTGGGGATCTTCAAAGTTTGATCAAAATTAAATATTAATACATGTTCAAAATATAATGCGAGCAACTGAAGCATTATGCAAATCAATTCATCTAGTCTGTTATTAATACAAGTGTTTTATTATTATGTTCTGATGTTAAATGTATATTTATTTATTTTTCACTTTACAGATTGGCACAGAAACCGGATTGGTGTTTAACGGCAACCGTAAGGGAAAAACCGTTTTTGAAAAGATTTCGGCCACGTATTACTGTCATCACGGGCCCGTGTATTCGGCGCAGCGGAATCCTGCGTTTCTGAAAAACTTTCTGACGGTCGGTGACTGGCAAGTGCGTGTATGGTCGGAAGACGTCAAGGAATCGCCCATAATGTGGACCAAGTACGTAGGGGTATCCGTAGCAGCGGGTCGGCGCCGAAACCGACGAATTCAGGTTGGACATGTTCATAAGATCTCGCGAGCCACCGCGACTGGATCACGAGCCAAGTACAAGAAAATACTATACGAACAATTTAAACACGCCAATGGAGATCCACGGTCAGCAATCAATTGTGTTCCATCAATGATTCATGATGACATGTAATGATTCATCGGTCGCCGAGATATCACGAGGTGACCGGTAAGGCGTGTGTCCTGCCCGAATTACGTAGGGTTCGGCGCTTCCGATCGTACAACGTAACTACGTGTCCGCACCGGACGTCAGATCTGGAAGGCGCATAACGTTAATTTGTAATACACGTGTGCGTTTGATACAGACACCACGACGTGCGGTTGACCGATGGCGCTTGGAGTGAATCGAAACCGTCGGTTTTCTACACGACCCGAGCGGACGGATGCTTGGAGTGTTGGGACGTGTTGCAAAAACAAAACGATCCGACGCTGACGATTAAGGTGCTCACCTCGGTTTGATATTATATCGCGCGATGACCAATGATCGTTGTTTGTAACGTTCAGGTGGCGGACAAGGAGCTGAACTGCCTCAGGTGTCACGAAGGAGGAGCCCTATTGGCCGTCGGCGACGATTGCGGCAAAACGTACGTGATCGAAATGAACGATTGGTTTGTGACGCCGGGGAAGAACGATAAGGCGCTTTTGACAGCCGTAAGTTTTTGCGGAATCATGCATTTCGTGATAATGGTTTATTATGTCGTTTCTGCGTTTCCCGACAACAGATGTTCGACCGCGAGACGAGACGGGAGAAAATAATCGAGGCGAAACAACGGGAACTGAAATTGAAAACCAAATCGTCGGCAAAAGCAGAGGCCACGCAGACGGCGAAAGACAAACACGCCCAACTGGCCGAGACCGAAGCCCGAATGATCGCGGAGGCGGAAAAAGAATTTGACGAACTAATTGTAACGATCTTAATCATCACATATTTTATTTGTATCCATTCACGATAAGTTATAGATTTTCAACGATTATACGAATAAAACATTTCTGTAAAATTCACACGTTTGAAAACCAACCGTTTACGGTATTTTATGTTTGCAGAACGAACTGTCGATGAATGACAAACACGATGATGAAAACGGATTAGAAAATCAGGAAAAAGAAAACGTCGATGAACTTTATGATCAAACAGTCGATCAATAAATTGATGAACAGAAAATTATTCTTTATACAAATACAATTGCTTATTAAAATATCAAAATAGACATGAAATTACGTAAAAAAATAATACAATTCAATTTTATTTGTACTACTCAAGTTTTATCAGAACAAATACATTAGAATATGTAGGTATGTAATTTTTCTTTTTTTTTTTTTTAAAAGAAAACTCATAAAATTAAGTTTAAACTTTTTGGACATTTAAATATTTAAAATTATTTAAAAGGAATTCGTGTTTTAATAAGTATTGCTAAAAAATAACAAAATATATTATAGTTATAAATTAATATTAGAGTATCAAATTATTCTTTTTTTTGTATAAATATTAAATATTTTCGTTGTAAAATGTTGGTTATTTTGTTTTTATTTTTATTTCTATTGATACGTGCATGACAAATATACTCCTTTGTCATTTAATAATTTGATAGAATAGGGTTTCAAGCTGATTATTTAGTTGCTTTGAGACAGAATAGAACTTAAGAATTCATAATAATTAATAATTAATAATTAATTATTAAAAAATAGTAGAAAAAAATACAAATAACAAAAGTTACAATAGATCGAATGATGCATTAAATGTAAATAAGAGTGTTAAATGTATGGATATTTAATCATAATTTTTTAGTATTTTAATTTTTATAAGGTCAAAACGTATTACAACTGGTGATATATATTTAAAGGAAATATTAATAAATTATAGTTATAATTTTATCATTAAAGTAATTGATCTAGTAGATGTTAAAAATCACAGTACAATAAAAATTATTTAATTATTAATTTAATGAGTATATTAATATATTAGTATTTTACATGACTATTGTTTATAGTGATTTAAATAACTTTTCAAAGTTGTCGTTAATAAACAAATTGTCTGGATACATTTTTCTAAAATAGTATAACAAATAAAATAACTATGAATAAATTTAGAAAAAAATCAGTAATATTCTATAGTTAAACACATAGTTTTAGTTAGGTATTTTACTCATCAGTTTTGTAGTATTATTATTAGTTGTTATTGTAAGTCTTATATTTGTATCTGGCAAGTAGGCGTTTAACTCTTGAGTAGCTTTAAAATTGTGTATTCTATTAATATACCTAATACATTTGTAAAGGTCCCATTTATACATAATGCAGGTTGTTCATAAGTATAAAATAAAATATTTAATGAACGACTAAATAAACGCATTATTTAAAAAAAAAAAAAAAAAATGAACATGAACGTGAACGAGTTTTCAATTATCAAGTGAATTTTCCGAAAACTACCCATGTGTCAGAATGGAGTTTTAAAGGTGAAATTGACCAGTTAGTAAAGTAAGTTGTATCCTAATAAGCCCTTTTCTTGGACGTGATCACTTTGTGAAATTATCACTCGACACTAATATCCCATAGTGCCTCTAACCTAATCTTAGATGAATTGGTTAATACGATATTCAAAATATAATTTACAACTTACAAGCCGGTCGTTTACACTTGTCGCAACGTGCCCGTCCGAGACGGGAATCATTTGGCGAACCCATCGTGTTTAATTTCGCGATACGGGTCCGGTCCCAGCACAAGTGTCGGTCGTCGAACGCAGATTAGTAGATTTTTCCAAAACCTGGCCCGGAGATCAAAGGGGAATCCTACCTTCGGGGCAGTAGGTGGGATCGTACGACGACCATTTAACACAGGAGTGGTCACCCCAATGATTTTGCGGGCCACATGTAAAATTATATTAGTATTTTGTCCCGATACGAAAGAAAATATTTGGGGTAAACGTTTTAAAAAGGATTAATTATTATTATAAAATAAGTTTTGGTGGATTAATAATTTGAAATAAACTGAGAAAACAATTATTGTTTTTATCACCGTATTCCGAATCTAATCCTTTTAAGAACTCGAATTACATTAATAATTTTTTTTATGCGTAAATGTTCGATAAATCACGCTGGCCCGCGGGATGATTGTCCCCAACGGGCACTGATCAGGTGGTGGGTCTGCAACGGTACCGGGGTAACGACGACCGCACGCGCGAAAAAACATTCCTCTCGAAATCTGTTCGCTGTGCTGGCGGCGTATCGTGTAGCGCGCTCTGTTGCTCGGCGCCGACAGCAGCGAATCGTCCAAAACTATCCTCAGAACTCCCGGCGGCCGGCTCTCGCTTGTAACGGATCTCGTGCGAACAGCAGTTATATATACCGGTCGGTCGACAGACAGCCGGTGAGCGCGCTCTGTAGAGACCACCGTCCTTAGCGACCGTAAGGTCAACCCCGGCCACTTGGGTAATACATCACGGTCGGGAGCAGCGTACACTCACATGTACGCTCGTTTCTCCCTCCCCTCAGTCCAATAATACTTTTCCGGTTTTCCCTAGTTTTAACCACTTCTCCGCAACACACACGCGGTCGTCTGTAAAAATAATGAAAGGCTTTGAAAAATATATCAATGCTGCATGATGTACGCATAATCTTAATGAGTGTACGATCGGTTCCGCTGAACGCCCGTGACGGTCCCCCACGCAACGTTCGGACCGGTCTCGACGGTGTAGGTCTTCTACTACGACTCGCGCTCTAAATTTTTGTTTTTTTTTTTTTTATTCGTCCTCGATGATGTATATATTTAGTTTTCTTTCGTCTCGTTCCCGAACGAGTACGTCTCTTCCCCCACTCCGTGCCCGTTGTCGAAACGATAAATCGGGGTCTTCACGAACCACTCGTCAACATCGATTTCGTGCAACAATGACGACGCGTCCCTTATTCACTTATTTTATCCCCGTTATGCCGTTTGTCCTTTTGATCCGTCCCGAACGGGCGCGGTTCAGTGGTAGCCCGGCGTTAGCCGTATCAAAACGATTTACCTGTTTAATGTTTTCTGTTACTCCGTGCAAATGTTACATTAGTCAGTCGAAAAGCTTCGTGTTTTATAACATACGTTTATAAATTGTTGGTAACAACATTATTTTATTTTGACCGATTGAACAACGGCAGCAGTCGCCTGTCAGCCGCCCCGCGTTCATACTGTTTTGTCCTATAAATGTATAAAAACATTTTCCATATTCGACAACTCGAAGTATATCTAAATTTATTGGTGATCCATTCATTACTATACGCATAGCACTAAAAACTACTAAAATACCAAAATTGTTGTATTGACTGTCGACCGTAGAATTAAGATAATTTCGTCGACGGTTCGGAACTCGACAACCGTCGACGTACACGTATTACGTATGTACTACGACCTACTTAATTTACCAATTTTTAATGCGCACCGCGATACATTTTTTTTTTATAAAAAAAAGGGTATTTTTAAATTGTAAATAACTCAATAAAGACATTGCGATGCAGTTTATTAAAAAAAAAAAAAAAACTATTCATTATAGTTAATAAGAAATTATTGCTTTAAATATTAATACATGTATATATACCAGTAGGTATCTAAATTGTAAATACGTATACATGTTTAAAAACAGCTCCTCTCGTTAATGTAAGCTAGATCCACGCCTGATCGTGAGTGTGTATCGCGTGTAACATTTTTCGCTGTTAAACGTTATTTATGTTGCGCTTATCTTATTTCGTTGCAGTACATCACTTACGTTCCATTGTTTTTGCGAAATACTTTATTTTTTTAATAATTTTCAGTTTATATACGTTGAACGTGCACTATTACAACTGTTGGAGTAATCGGCAAACATTCCATTTCGCCGTTTCTTTTTCAATTTTTAATGATATTTATTTTTCAACAACCCTTGTGTCATAAAATATTATTTATTAATGTAAAATAAAACATGAGTTTCGAAACTACATGTTTATAATTGTGTAAATAAAAAGTTTCGCTTTATTTAATTTATTGATTCAAATACATATATATATACAAATTCTTTTGGTAACAAATTATAATTTCGTAGAGCAAACACTTCACTTCTTGTTGTAACTATACCAACCACTACGGTCGGGTGAAACACAGGGATGATTGAACGGTATTGCTGTATTAGTCTTTTAAACTTGAAACCAATGTACCGTTACTCACGAAAAAAACGATTCCGAGTGAATGGGATCGAGTGGATCGATTTATATTTTTGAAGATGGTCGACAATGTAGAAGACCCAAATTCGGTAGGTTGAACTGTCAATGCAGAAAAAAAATGCATCTAAAATTAAAGAATATCGAAACTTTTAAGTGTCTATAAACAACACAAACTTATTTTGACATGAAATGTCTTTAACCAAATATTAAATATCGTTAAATTGTAATTCATTGAAATATCTGATTTCGTCAAAACTTCATAAGCTTATAAATCATTTTGGTGACTCTTCAGTATTTTTTTTTTTTTGTTAAAAAAACAAATAATGTGCAGAACTTCGTATCCAATTTTGAAGTCTTAAATTAAAAAAATTAAAATTTTATAAATTTTTCACTAAAAAAATATGATGAATTTTTGACATTTTTATCATTTCCGTTAATATTTAATATCGAAACTCTCGTCATATATTTATTTTTTATTAGTTATAGTGTATGACCTAATGTATGAGTAACCTATTGAATAACTTTGTATTATATTTATATAAAACATTTTTGACAACCCAAAATTATTTTATCAACATTTTCGAAATAAAAAAAATGTGATTATTTCAATTTCTCATAAAAAGTTTAAAAAAAAAAAAAATCTTTTACATCTAATTGAATATTATTAGTGGTAAGTGTTTGAGTCTCTATTCAATTTTATGCTTTTGAAATTTTTTCTCATAAATTTTTAATTTAAATTAAATATTTTATTGTTTTATTAAAACCAATACATTTTACTCTGAATATATGTTATATATATGTATACATAATTTATATAAAATCAATATACTTGTATTTATCATATTTATAATAATTGTTGTGTGAAAACTAGGAATTGTATGCAAATATATCTCCTGTCTCCTGATTGCATGTAAATTAAACGCATTATAGTATTAACGGCTTAATGATGTAATATTTCTTCATAAGTATCAAAGCGATTTTTGTGTATAACTGAGGCTCTCCTTAACTTTGATGTTCCACCGAACAACGAATAATTTATTCGACCATAGGTATTTCATCATCTTTGGTAATTATTATTATCTTATAAACCGCGGTTCATTATCCT